TATTCTTTGTGCTGCAAACTTTCTGCAGATACAAATAGAATTCATGAAGTGTGAAAGTGTCCCACTGAGTAATGTAGACGAAAAGCTGGCGAAATCCAGTATCTAACACAGACGCATCTACAGGGATCTAGGCTTGTGCTACCCCGCATTATTTCTGGGTTATATCAAGAAGACATTTCTTTCAGTCGACTCTTCGTTGCACGTCCAATTGTTTGTCTTGGAAAACGTGATGGGTTCACGCGTTTCCTAGTTTACTTATAATTGCAGAATGCAGATAATTTTAAGTAGCGCTTTAAATTGATTTTCTTATAACCATTGGTGTTTCTTCTGCAGTCTTAACTGGCGTCACACTGACTGACACAATTACAGGGATAGATTGTAACGTAGTGTATTCTGTGGCTGCGAACCATGGTTACCTAGTTTTGAATCATTATCATGTGTCTAGCTTAATAAACATATGGAATTAGTGTCTCCCTCGCAGTAGACTACGTCATCTAGAAGTTAGGAGCACACTGTCTTCAGCAGATTTAGTTTTACTTTTTTGGCCGTAACTAGTGAGTCAGCTGGTGTTTGGCAGTAAGAAAAACGTTTCCAAATCTAAGTATTTTCTAGATGTCGGCTTATTTACCTACTTTAGCAACAATTTAAACTTTTTATCAAGAATTAGGTATGTCCATCTTTAATTAGTGATTCGAAACTAAAAGTAAAGGCCATGCTGTTGAGTTATTGAAAAGACAGAATTATAAGTGAACTGGCATTTAGATACATTTATCCTAACGTAGTTAAATGGTAATAATAATTCTACCTATCATTCAACAGTTTACTTTCAGTCTTAATTCAAGGACAACTTTAGCTACTCACTAAATTAGTAGATTCAGAAGACTGCTCTACTCTTGTCTTTGAAATACTTTGCCCAGTTGTGCTTTACTTCAAGATATATGTATACTGGCCAATTGATGTTGCTTATCCATGCATCCAATTATACTGGCCTACATATGTTTCTATCAGTCGAAACTTCCCTGGAAATAGGAACAAGTTAATATTACTTCCAAATATACAACTCTAGCCGATCGCATGCAAACGATGTTCACTTGGTGTCTCGATTTTCGAAGTATCAATTTACCCTCACGTAAGCACTTGTTTCAGTTCTAATGGATTGTAGTAATTTATTGTAATTGTAGTATTAGTATTTCGAGATGACCGAATTACACGAATCCAAACAAAACACAGAGAGGGCAGAACTCAGGAATTTGTATTTTGCGGAATTATTATGCAATTCATATAAGAAACATATCAACAGTAAGTATTTTAAACAATACAGAGATAGAAATCGTCAATCACCACATCCGCCACACGTCGAACGTCTCCTTGTGTACTTATAACGATGTCTCGGTTTGCTTGAAAGTAGCTGCGACCTAACTGATTCTGTGATATTATTTTCATCAGTATAATCTGGACTTATTTCTGAATTATCTACAAAATCAGGATTATTAGCGGAATCAATAATATTATAATTGGAACGACCTACTTCATTTATTGTCACTTTGTCCAGCTGTCCGTTATGAACTGAGTGATCTTTGATGTCTAATATCTTCACCACTCGGTTTCCCATTTTTTGTAGTATAATTCCAACAGAAGGTCTATAGTCTTTCCCTTTGTAATAATGTACATTAGAAGTCGTGGACATCAGATGCTTTTTGAGAATTCGAGATTTGAAAAGTTTTGCAGGACTTTCACGGGTACTTGTATGCTCTGCATTCAACAGACGCAGTCTATGCATATGCAACAATTCCTCCATTTTAATCAGTTGCTCTCTCATCTCATTCAGGTCTTTTCGTGTTTTCGACAGTTCACATTGTAAATCAGCTACCACATTTTTGAAAACAGTTGACACTTGAGTTGCCGAACTTGTAGTGGAGGTTTTCATTGGATTAGCTTGAGTATTTTGAAAGGTTGAAAGACACATTGACTCCATTTTACTAGACAGCTTGGGAGAATTATAAGAATGTTGAGCAACATAAGTATTCGAACTTCTGCAAACCGTCTTGATGTGTCCAACTTTACCACATTTGTGACACTTAGCGCCCCGAAAACGGCAAGTGCTTCGTAGATGTAACTTTCCACAGGATAAACACGGTTTAATGTTTTTGATCTCTGGCTGCATTCTATTACCTGTGGACGGCAGCTTGGATTGCTTTCCATGACCACTTGTATTTTCGACTTTAGAAAGCATAACATCAGATACTGACGTAGTGGGAGCAGAGTATTCATTATTGACATCTTCATATGCAATACATAAATCTTTAGCAGTTTGGAAGGTACAAGAAGGAATCTGAATTAACTCTTTCTCCAACTTAGGAATATTGATTCCAGCAATTAGACGATCACGTAGTTGAGTATGCAGCTGATCTCCAAAGTTACACTTTGATGCTTGTGTTTGGAGTTGAAGAATAAAGTCTCGAATCTTCTGGTTGGGAGAACGTACCAGTTTGTTGAACTGAGCCCTCTCTCGCGTCTCAAAAGTAGTTATATGGAAGTGATCTATAAGAAGTTCACGGAGCTTAGCATATGGCAGAGAAATGGGTTTATCTGGAAACGCCAGATTCTTCACTAGGCTATACGCATCTAGCCCAATAGTAGTGATGAAATGTGCTGGTATTTTGTCATCCCAAACATTCTTTGAAATGCGTCACGCATCGAAGCATTCCAAATAATCAGCAATCTCTCGCGGAGTAGCATTTATAGGAAGTTTTCCCAGGTTATTTAGTTCCATCGCGACGCCAATTTGTAGTAATTTATTGTACTTGGAATATTAGTATTTCGAGATGACCGAATTACACGAATCCAACCAATACATAGAGAGGGCAGAATTCAGGAATTTGTGTTTAGCGGAATTCTTAAGCAATTCATATAAGAAACATATCGACAGTGGCAATGGATAAAGGCACACACGGGGTGTCGTTATGTGTTATCGCGATGTTGTGTTTGGGTTGTTCTACGTTGTTTTCAGGTGTTTTTTCAACTGAAATACATTATAAATACCATATTTTAACGAAAAAACTTAGAAAAGTGGTGGAAAGTAGACGCTTTCAGCAGTTTGAGTGAACATGTATCTGTCATTGAATTTCGTTATTTCTTTCCATGTGGAATGTTAAAACTCTGTGTAAATTGTTGATTACGTTAAGGAAAACGAAATCAATTAGGCAATTGATGCATATTTTGCGAAATTCGGAAAGGGTGTTTTGAATCTCTGAGATATGAAAACTTGGTAACATTCAGAAGAGTCTACAGCTATAAAGGAGTGTTAGTTGATTTATTCGCAAGATAACAGTTAATAAACAAATTTTTTTAAATAGTTACTTTGGTTTGGAGTATTTTCGTGTTGCTAATTATTTGTTAACGGATGTCATACTATTGTTGATTTGCAGGTTGCAATTGTAATTTACGGAGTGGTTCACTTTATTTGGAGGCTTTAATGAAGTGCAATTGAAGAATTTGCGCGTTATCGTTGGAATCTTTGTGATATTATAAAATTATTTATCAAAATAAATATCCCTTTAATGTTTTAACGGTGTTCTTTAAAGAATTCACTACTACTTCCCTTTGCTTGTCGAAGGAATAGTGATGTAGCCGGTTTTGGAATGCGTAGTGATTTAATCTGAAAGAGTGATAATTTACGCAGCATAAGAATACTAGGATTTTCTTCAATAGGATATACCTATAACGCGTTATTTTCGATGTACGTAGCCGCCCTACATTTGTTATTATGTATATGTAGTAATCGCAAAACAAACCTAAGCTCAACGTACATTTTTTCGCAAGCCCTGATGAAAGATAATCTTTTACGCAGCCGTATTGAGTGTAACTGAAACATTTCATGGGAGGCTTGATGACGCACTGAGGAAATAATAACGGTTTACGATTATCACGCATTTCACACAAGTATTACTACGTTGCCTAACAACTTCGCTAACTATGCAATGTCCTGGAAATGATAATTAAGAGAGATACATGTAGTCAACATAAATGCATATATTTACAAAATAAAAACAGTTAAACAGTACATATTCACATTAAAAAGGGTGAAAAAAAACACAGTTGTAGATTTTTTATGGGTACATGATTGTCAAATTAAAGTCCACTAATCGTTTTATCCACAATATGTGGATCAGTTTCCCTTAGGTGACTGTGACGCTGGACCAGTCTTTACAGCTTTCAGCACCACCTGATCCTTCAGAAGAAACTGGTTATGACCTTTCTATGCAAAGATTGAGATTGTATTCCTTTGATCACCTCCGGCCACACTGAGAAATATCTAAGGATATATACATATCAAGTGAATTAATCTTACCTCAGGTGAACAATCCCTAATCTTAGCAACAATGAATATGTGAACAAGGGAGGGGACAATAGTAGAATCGGTATGAACAGTCCATATATCCCATAATAAACTTGAAGAATCCTAAAACTTCCGGTTTATCTTTCACAGTTTGTCTTCTGCAAAATGCAAATATTACTCAAATGCCTCTCCTTTCTATCCGTCACAATCAACTGAAAAAGACTAAATCTTCAAACTTTATACTTCTTTGATTAAGTTACCCAATAATATTCTCTTTTTTAGTGGGTCAACATGCATATCACATCTGTAGAATCTATACATGCGTTAACTTGTGTCCTTAAGCTGAAAAAACGTAATGTTTATGCGACTTTTATTACTATCATTTCAAAGCCCGCCTCAGTAACGTGAGCTACGTATTAGCCGCAGCGTTTACGCAAAGTAAAACCTACCAATCACAGTATGCATATGTGACCTTGAGGTGCTCAGCCTCTCCAAAAGGTCGTGTGTGCCTTTATCCATTGCCGACAGGCTGTCCACTCCGGGTTCTGTTGATATTTTCTGACAGTTTTAAGCGTCGTATGTGTCAAATCATGTTACACATTCTTAAAATTTTTCCGTTTTGTTACAGGTATATTCCTCTAGGTAATTTTTGCAAGAAAAGATGCTCAGGATAATTATTGTTGATAAACAGTTGCGTATGTTACGTCCAAATGAAAGTTTTCCAACATTCTCATACTATCAGCTGTTGTGTATGCTGTCAAAAGCTGTTATAACTAATCTTTGTTCTCTAAAGAATAATGATTTTCTGTCTGTAGTAAGTTTTTCTCTATGTTGTTTTCAACGGACGCTCTGTATTAGTTTTTATATCACAACAGATTGATGGCATAATTTACACTGTACCTCCAGCTTTTAGTAGTGTGATTAGGTGAGTAATGTTGAAGGTAGGCTCAGTGTTAGGTAAGAAGGAAACGTCACTAGATGAGTTTGTGAAGGTGAATTGATTTGGAAAGCGGATATACAAGGAATCCGGTATGCTATAGGAATAGCAGACCAATGCTTATGTGAGTGTTTTAGGGATTACCTGACGGATAGGTTAAAGTTAACGGTGTACTATTGTGGTGGAAAGCAGTATCCAGTGGAGTGCCTCAGGGAACTGTATTAGGCCCCCTGCTATTCCTATTATACGTTAACGAATTACCAGGGATTCTTGCTTCATCTTTATTATTATTTGCAGACGATATTAAGACATGGAAAACTGTAAATAATAACGAGGATAGGTCGGCCCTACAAACTGATTTAGATAAATTAGCTGAGTGGTCAAGCCTATGGAGTTTGGAAATGAATGCTAGGAAAAGCGCGGTAATACGTCGTACTCCCTAGGGGACACAGAACTACCTGATGTTAACGAACAGAAGGACCTAGGAATCATTGTCAGCAATGATTTGAAGACAACTGCAAATTGCAATGCAGCCGCAGCTAAGGCATTTCGAATGCTATGGGCAATTCGAAGGGCTTTCAAACGATTAGACGAGGGTATGTTCCAAATACTCTACGCAACATATCTCAGGCCTCATCTGGAATACTGTATACAGGCGGCGAGTCCATGCTTCATAAAGGAGGCACATATTCTGGAAAGAGTACAGAGAATAGGAACAAAATTAGTGGTATCTCACAAGTGATTATTATTATTATCATTATTATTATTATTCCTTATGATAAGAGGATGGAGCATTTAATTCTGTTACCGTTATCATACCGAAGGAAGAGAGGTGACTTAATTTTAGCATACCGTATACTTAAGGGTAATTTAGGAACTGAACTTTCTAACCTTTTCTCCCCTTCTAGGATACATATACGCGGTCACCACAAAAAGGTGCTCAAAGCGAGGACGATTAAAATACGTGCAGAACTTAGATTCTCTCACAGAGTGGTCAACGATTGGGACTCCTTACCTGATTCAGTAGTATCAGCTCCATCGGTGAACGCTTTCAAAGAGAAGTTAGATCTCTGCAGAGGTATATTTTACAAGGATTAACACAGGCCACAAGAGCCTTCTATCCTTTTCATCTGAATCTGGTTGAGACTTGAACACGTGTTACACATTCCAACCCACCTTCCCCGTCAAGTAATGTTAGGTAATACAGGATTGGGTTGGAGAAAAGTTAGGGTAGTGAGATCATAAGTTAGCATCAAAGCATGGGATTTCTGATTGTTGGTTTGAACCAGCCACTTAGAGGATTATAGACTACCTAATTGGGGTCATTGGGATGCTAAGAACCAATGGTTTGAGATTGTTCGTAGCGATATGGCTCAAAATCGTTCCCAGTGGGGCATCTTTATTTACACTTTAAAATCTCACATTCATTGAGTCTCCATGTTCTTCTGTCCTTATTCTTCCTCCCCTACATTTCTGCCTACTATAGCTCTTTTGATTTATCGGTCTCCTGCCTTTGTATGCTACATAGAATACGTCAACCTAAACTTCTGTATTGAAACTCAGTTAGCCAGTTAATTTAGGATGTTGTCCCTTGATTATTATATCTCTGTTTTCTTTGCATATTGTTGTTTTATTATTTTATGTGAGATATCTCTTAGTGTCTGTTTTGAAAGAAGTTTGTGATTTTAATAATAATGACTATGGTTTCCTACGAACGCTGTTTTTATGTCTGTTTATACCTTGTCTTCTTCATGAAACAGTCTGTTTGTCTGTCTGTTTTCGACATAGAACTTTGCACAAATGTGCGGAAGTTCAAGTCGCCACTTTCCGTGTAGCACGCGAAGCAAGAGAAGAAAGTACAAGAAAAGCATAATAGAAACAGTGAGCAGAGGTGTGAGACAAAGGAGGAGTAATAACGAAGAACAAAACAGTTTCATTGGAGATCATAAGTCACAGGGAGTGGATGCATCTGCGCCACTGAGAACGATTTTGAGCCATGTCACCAATTGTTTCCAACCATAGATTTTTACCGTCCCGAGGACCCCAGCCTGGAAGTCTACACCTTCCTACGTGGCTTAGACCAACTGTTGTGGATTTCATTGACTGGTGAAGCCAAGTTTTTGTTTGACCGCCGCTAGCTTTTTTCCAGCCTGACCCTATATCCGCTAACATAGCTCGTCGAGGGAGGCGATGGCTTGGCATACGTAACACATGTCCTAACCATCTCAGTCTTTGTAGCTTCACGACTTCGTCGATTGATTTCCCGTGTTTACCTAGAACTCTACGCCTAACCTCCATGTTGCTCACCTTATTATGCCACTTTACACGGGAAATAGAACGCAGGCACCTATGATCAAAGACAGCTAGTCTTTTCATGTCTTCCACTCTCAGTGGCCAGGTCTCACAACCATAAAGGAGGACGGAGTGGACTGATGAGCAGTACACCCGCCCTTTGGTCGATAGTCGAACATCTCGTCTACACCAGAGTCGGCGTAAACTAACAAATGCGAAACGAGCCCCTTGTATTCGTGCTGAGATTTCGTCAGTACTAATATCGAGCGTTCTATAAAACAAAATTAAACTTAAGAGAACAATGAAGTCGTCCGCCAGTATAACTTCAAGTGTAATCATTCACCATAATAAAAAAGTAATAAGTATTTCATATAAATTAAACCAAACTTAACGGAACAGAGTTTTCACTGTAGGCCTTTACAAAAATGGGTCTAGAAGTTCAAGTTGCTTTGTTGAGCAGAAGCACACGGTAAGGTAGAGAAAAACTAAACAGAAATGTGAGGAAGCTTTAGTAAATGGAAATTTACAGAGAAAATAGTTACATAAACAATAGTAAGGATGACAAACAATGATTGCATCTACGCGTTTGTGAAAAATTTTGAGTCATATCTCCGCTAGATCTTGGTGTCTCGAGAACCCTGGTTAAACAGGCTATACCCACATGGATTGTATGGATAGATGCCATGTTTTAAAGTATGTCATGTAATTAATGCAGGTGTAGGTTTTGAGCACTGGTGGTATATAATTCCACATTAGTTAAGTTTATTTTTTATAACACCATGATGTAGTATTGATAGCAGGATGTTTTGAGCACAATTGATTGCTCATAACCACACCAATTTACTTACAGGTCTTCGTAATTGGCTTTATATATTTTTCACTTCCCCTTGCTGTACACTGTAATCTTCCATGTATTCGGTATAGGCGTTGTCATATCACTTGTACGTGTTTCGTGTTGATTCAATGATTCAGTAATTAATCTCCCTCTCTACTTTAACTATATTACCTGTTAAAAATTTCATCCTGTCCCATTCAAGCGAATGTATTGCGATGGCCTAGCTTTTTTCTAAGTTGTTTAACTTAGCAGGGTCAATCCTGCTAGGTCTGGCTAAATTTCCATCTTCTAATTAGCCAATTAACCGTGGTCTACTAGTTTGACTTAAGTAACTGATCTCACAGTCATTGCATGGTATTTGGCAAACTACATTATATTTCTTAATTGGGTATATTGAGTCCTTGATCGGCTGGCATTTGACTCTAAGTGATTAGGTTGACTGGTTTAAATGCCCCCCCTAATTCCAGCCCCAGTAAGAATCCTATGTAGGACCTCTGATGTTCTTTCTCTATACGGCAGTACTTCACAGGCTTTGAATTCCGTATTATTTGTTATTGTCGTCATTTTCATTACTACTCCTATTTTTCCTGAGTCTTCACATACATTTTTGAATAAAATCTAGTGGGTAGTTGATAACTAAGTGTTTTTCCAACTTGTTTGATTTCATTATTTAAATCTTCTTACTGCTTAGGTTCCCGGCTCGATTATATGAACCATTAACCAAACCTACCTTTAGCGATTTTGGTGGATTAGATACTTGCATCCATAAAAAGACCTTGATATGCTCTGACAAATATGCAACGCCTAACTAGATATATGGAAGATTATAATAAATAACAAGAGGGGAAGAAGAAAAATGTATAGGGTGAATTATGAAGCCGTGTGAATACATTGATGATATGCTTATGAGCAGCGATAAATTGTATTTGAAACGCATGCATCCAGTTATCATTACTATGCCATTGTGTTACTGGAAAATAAACTTAACTATTATGGAATTATATTATGTTGTAACTGGTTGAAAATTTTAGTATCTTTATTTAAGATATTTGTATCACATCCCAAGTCAATTATATTTTGCCTCTTTTTTAAAAAAAATATTTTTTTGCTTTTTCCTGTTAAGTATGATAAAGACGTATCCAAATCAAAAGGTGGACTACTTAACACATTTTCATCTGATGCCTACAACTTATGCAGTGAAATTGACCAAAGTCAGCAAAATACTAAAGTGTTATATACTACTAAAGTTACTGCTGCATTAATTGGTAATATATTGATGGAAGCCCATGCTTATTATGGACCATGGTCAAATATCCAGGTAGATATTACATATATATATATATATATATATATATATATATATATATATACATATATATATATATATATACATATATATATGGCTGTGGACCTGTAACTCATTCATCTAGTCATTCAACTACCAAACCAGTGACCTGTAGAATTTAAACTCGATTATATATATCTAGGCTTCGTTAGATAGCGCTCAAGCAAAATATGTGTTTCATTATCCACCTTGAATGCCTTTGTATGGTTGACGAACGCTAAACTCCGGTCTTCTCCCCGGAATCCTCTCGTGTGGTCATTCGCTCATGGTTTGTATCAAATAAATCCTATTCACTACCTCGCAACTGGAGTTGTGATTACGAAAGTAGAAGGGTGAATATGGGATGTCTGGCGCCCATCGCAAGATTAGTAGAGGTTGCACCATGGGTTGTGTATATGTGTATGTGTTGGAAAATCTTGATTCCTAACCTATGGTAGGCATGGACGCCACATTTTTTCAATGCTTTTTTGTATGGTGCATCTCTTAGTGTCTACACTATACCTTATAAATGTGCTAATGGTTGTGGATCTATGACTTGCCTATCTAGGTACCTCACTTTTGCATACAATGATCGCCAGCCGGGCTCGACTCTCAGCCGACTCACTCCTAAATCTCTCCTAGTTTACTAGCCTGTAGCACTCGGAATAGTTAGAAGATTAGATGGAAAGCTAATCGTTGCATCCGTAAAACACTACTGCTACTGAAACTTTTAAGCCTAAAACTCGAGGCTTTATTTCCCACTCAAAAAGCAATGGAAACAAAATCCAAGACATTGAATTGAATTCTTGATTTTCCCGTCGATTGATTGGACTGAAGTGCTCGGTCTCAGGTTGACATGTCGGCTTCTTGTGCAGATGCTTGGACGATGTCTGGGGATTTGATTTGTATACAATTGGTGGATGGTGGCTAGCAGTGGAATCCAGGATAAAGCGCATTTCATCCTAATTGGGACTCGTCATCTGGATGTACCTGCATTTCTCAGTGAGTGATGATGTTCCCACCGAGGCTCGAACCCAGTGCCCATAGTTTCAAACGCCAAAGCGTTATCCACTAGACCACTTGGGCCACGAGAGCCACCTCTTGTGCATCTGCACAAGAAGCCGACATGTCAACGTGAGACCGAGCACTTCGGTCCAATCAATCGACGGGAAAATCAAGAATTCAATTCAATAATTAATATGACCCGTTGCACAAGAGGTGGCTCTCGTGGCCCAAGTGGTCTAGTGGATAACGCTTTGGCGTTTGAAACTATGGGCACTGGGTTCGAGCCTCGGTGGGAACATCATCACTCACTGAGAAATGCAGGTACATCCAGATGACGAGTCCCAAATAGGACGAAATGCGCCTTATCCTGGATTCCACTGCTAGCCACCATCCACCAATTGTATAAAAATCCAAGACAAATACGGAATATACACATTGGGTCGTAGGAGTTATTAGGAAGATAATTGCAGCTAAGAAAATTTTCTTTTCGACGAAGTCATCATCTGGGCTGTACATTCGTGTATTTATATCAAATGGATGGAAAAGTTCCAGAATAATATCCGGTCAAGGGTCAAATTTATAAAAATTAAAATTAGGAATTAGAATGCCATAATAAACAGGGATGGATAAAACAAACAAAGTAGCATCATGATAGCTAAGAAGATTGACATTGTGCAGTTAGGGGTTAGAAATGTAGAGATAACAAAATAGGCAGGATGTTTGGATAAGAACTAATGTGATGAATAATTGTTTATGCAATCAGGGATTAAATATGTAGAAATAGTAAAATGACAAGATAAACACGAAGTTCGGGTATGAAAATATGGTAGTGTAAACAGGGATTAAGAAAAACTTAAAATAACATGAATAAACAGGAAGTTTAGGTAAGAAAGGTGATGGGATGGTCATTATTAAAAAATTACCTGTTTATGATGGCCATGGCATGGACAGGGGTTGGACGTATTTCTTTTGGATACGTTCGAGTTGCATCTCCATGTCGCACACAAACCAGGACAAAATAGCCGTCTAGCACTTCCTGGCTTTTAAGGGTTCCCTGACTAAAATCAGCTCGTGATCAAACTTAAATAAATTAAATGCAGAGTTTTAGTTGGAGAAATACTTCAGGCAAAATAATTTCCTATACATCACTAATAGAGATAGTTGTTAGTCTGTAAATACTGGAAATTATTGCTGATTATTTCTAACAATATGTAGTGCTACTTATAAGTTACTAAGTAGTAGTACGCTTTGACATTAAAGTTGAATTCTACTTTTTTTTGAAAATTTATCAGATCCTACTCTTCACAGATGGTGGATCATCTCACTTCACACTTTCATCATTCACCTGGCCTGAACATTTCCCTGAAAGACTGTACAGTACTGTTTCAATACTATTTATTAGTTTAAGTGATAAAAAGGTGAGTGTTTTTAAGAAAATGTATTTTTCCTTTTGATAAAAAAATCTTTTTTTACACAATTAGTATGTGTATCACAATCTGCTGACCATACCACACCTGCTGCAGATTCGACTCCCAGCCAATAGCGCACTCTTAAACCTCCTAACTGGTAGTAAGCCTGGCAAAGAGGAAAAGGTTGTGCTAGTAACTTCATTGTTACAAAATGACACTACCGCTACTGAAACTAAAAACTCATACTTGAAGCCGTGTGTTTCACTCGAAAAGTAAAGGAATGAAAATAATAGCTATGGTATGGCACACCTCCATTAGGTTGTTGGCTAGTTTACCTATTCTGTGTGGGGGCTACTTTTACTGCCTGGCTGCCTAAACCCCGATGGGGCAGTAGGGTTTGAAACAATGGAAATTTAGCGCCTAAACCAATGAGCCATATTTACTGAGGCACTGTTCACTAGGGTCATTGATCATCCTCAGGGTTGGGTGCATGCATGTAGCGCATAGTCACGTACTATCCGCATCGCCAAATTAATATATCCCGGATTTACGATCTCAACATGTCCTATAACAAGAGTAAAAACCACAAAAATATTTCATAATTTTCTATGTAACCAATTAACATTTTTCTAGCGATTGGCCGATTCATAAGAATAACTCACCCTATAGCTAAAATAACGACCCAACGGATAGCTGCCACCTCAACTTGGTGGCACTGGGTTCGCACATTTAAATGACCCAACGAGCTATACTAGCTGGAAGTGATGTTTGCTCAGGAACTACCACACCAGAAAAGTCGTTTGGATAGTGGTCAGACTGAAAGCAGTCACCATGAGAGTGTAAGTCGTTGACAATATGATGAGATTCCGCTGGCGAATAGGAGTCGAAAAGTAGTAAGGTGTTTCCTTCAGAGATAACCAGCAAGGCAGGTGTGTTACCTCTCCGTACTGGAGTGGGTAGATAGATTAGAAAATATCGATTCTGAAAATTGTACACCGTGACTTACATTTTGACCGTCAATAGCTCGTGGTAGGATCTTCTTTACAAGCACTAACTCTGGAAACCATTGTAATGTGATCGTGTGTGATTGTCATCAAGTCGTTGTCGCCTTGGCTCTGCAATCACCCAACCCTGATACTCTTTCTGCTCCAGGTATTTCAAAAACAAATCAGTTTCTACGGTGTTAGCGGCCGGGAACTAATGACCACTCATACACTTCCAGGCAAAATAACTGATGTTGCAATCTATGTCATCATTAAAACTTATTTGAACTGTTAGATTTTATTACTTCTGTTTACCATCAACATTTCTGTCATTCATGTTTAGAGTTTCTGGAGGGATTTTTATGAGTTACATTGCAGATTTTTTTATGAAGCAACATATAGCAACATACATACCATATCATATTTAGAGAGATTTGTGGAAAACCAAGGAGCACTGGATTGACTGTTTGGTACTCTTCAGCAGTATGCATCCACGACCACGGCAGCGCTCGAATCCAGACAGGCGATATAATGCCAATGCTAAATACTACCACTGATAAAAGCTAGCTTTGCATGGGACATAATAAACCCCGCCAGCCATGACTTTCTGTTAGGGCTTCAGGACGTCCGTCTTGTGAAGCAACTAATTAACTTCGTAATATGAAAGCAATGGGGTTCGATTCTTGTTATAACATCGCAAACTAGGATGAAATGTTTGTCTGGTTGAGAAAATTTGTAGCTCAGATGGATGATTTAGTTATGTTCTGCGAGCTGGTTAATTTGTTGAGAAGCTTTCGTAGTCCACCTAGACAACAACTTTAACGCAAACCTTGATATGAAGTGAAGTTAATTGAATTGTTTCTCCACGAATTCTGTAATTGTATCCCATGGAAACGCTTATTGAGATTGGCTGTTGGTTTACATCTTTGTTGATCATTTTTATCGACTTTTAGTTTGACTTTTATTTTGTTGAGTTTATTTCTTATTGGTTGGTAAATTTGACCTATACTAATTATTATTATTATTATTATTATTATTATTATTATTATTATTATTATTATTATTATATAAGCTTTATTCCAAATCAGTACTTGTGATACAGAATGGAATTCTCAGCATTTTACTACAATATTGCATCCAGTTTTTACATTAACAATAAATAAAGTTCTACATAGATTAAAGATTATCTCAACAACATATTAGTATGTCGGTAGCAAAGCCAAAATTAAAATGTTTGAAGGTGTTACAAAAGTAGATACTACTAGCATATTTACTGGCGTAAGCGATAGCAAAATGGTCGAGATATACAGAGTGTAAAAGAACAACAAGAAGGTTTTAACTAGAGTTTGCAAGGAAGAGAAAAACAAAACAGCACTTAACAAAAATAAAGACAAAAAAGGTAGAGAGAATGGAAAAGAGAGAAAACGTTGTACCCATAAATGATGTGAGTTGGAAAGACGAGATTCATTGGTTCTAGTGACTATTTAATAAGTTAAAGGTTTCATGCCTGATGCATTCTTTATCACACAGAACACGGGCTAGGTAGGGTATGGATGAGTTTTTGTACTTACTAGTGCGGGCATATAGTTTCCTATATAGACTTCTTGTTTTCCCTGAAGAGATACATGGGGAGAGTTGTGAGTGTAGAGGGTGTTGTGAGTCAGATAAAATGGACTTCGCCCATTTTTCACATGAGTCCATGTGCCTGTCCACCAGAATGTTAACAAGCTGGCTAAGTGGTAAACTGCTTACCCTGCTGACAACCTTTAACATCCTACGTAATAAGGTATAGTCTTTCTTCAATAGCCCAGGAAAGACTAAGGGGGAGCAATAGAGAATTATAGGCAGAATACGGGAGTTAACAAATTGTAGTAGTAAGGGTTGGGTTACACCAGAATGTCTTAACTTCTTGATGTAGAAGGTAAGACGGTATATTTTCTTGGAAATCGTCAAGATATGAGACGACCAGGAAAGATCAGAAGATAGAGTGACGCCTAGGTATTTAATTTCCGACTTAGTTTCTATTTCAGTGCCATCTATGTTGCACACCTCGTGAGCGCTAACCAGTTTGTTTAGGTCAGATTTATGCCTAAAGGTGAAATTAACTGTTTGGCATTTGGAGGGGTTTAAGGTTAGACCGTTTTCCGTGGACCATTGGCTAATTTCTGATAAGAAGCCATTTAGTTTAGAGCAGTCATTTTGACATTTGACAGGTAAAGATACAGTTAGGTCATCAGCATATTTGACAAAGTTAATATCATTTGAAGACGGTAGGTCATGAAGGAAGAATGAAAAGAGAAGTGGGGAGAGTACAGCACCTTGGGGGACACCAGATTCAGTGAGCACAGCAGAGGAGGATTGACCTTTGTATACGGTGTACTGCATTCTGTTTGAAAAGTAGGAATGCAACTAATGTGTCTGTCAGTTGCTTATTCATTTTAGTACATTCATTAGTCTCAGCCCAGTGCTTTTTTCAGAGGTAACTTCGAGTTATTAAGTCTGCTACCCCAATGAGGTGTCTATTAAATTAGCCCGTTTACCCAAATCAGGTTGATCTATTTAACCGTATTTAGCAGCAAGAGAAACAAACCCATAAGCACGAATTAATAAATAAGTCCAGATGATACTCACAACTGCACAAAAAGTCCTGGCTCTCGTTGACCACTGGATAAAGCTTTAAAGGTGGTTTAAAGCCATGAGTAAAATGTTCGAGACCAGTGACAGCAACACCAGCTACTCTAGGATACAGCTTCATCTAGATGACAAGACGTAGTGTAGGAAAACACGTGAATTCTGGATTCTACAGCTCTCATCATCATAGAAAAATTAATTTCGAGTTCCAGAAACTAGCAAGGCATCAAGGCATATACTTGTTTAAGGAGCCCATACATCCTATCAGATATAATGAATATTTCACAAATAACAATAATAGCTAGAATACGAAAACCATTTGAAACAGATGTGGGACATTAATCAACGCAGCTACTTCATTCACTGTCGTGCAGACTGAGAGATCCAACAGCAAAAGACGACAAGATCAATACCATCTACAAAATGAATTGCATAAACTGTGATAAACACCACAATAAGTGGTCATTCCCATCGACTCACAGTCCCACAACGCATAGAGTAGCTGTCAAAACACACAACATGTATTCTTCCATATCATCGATATGCATGTAGAAGACAACTATGGACACACTAATTCAAACGAGATAATGTAGGAATTTTAAACTTAACGGAAACACCCAAACCGATGTCAGGTAATATATACCTAGAAGCCTAGTACTACTCAGATGAATTGAATGAGCAATTAACATACACTATAGATGACTATAGATCGGATTTATCAACTAATAAAAAGAACGAAAAGTATTCAAATTCCAGGTTAATAAAAACGATCAATACAGACGTGCATCAACCAATCACAATCATGAAGAAGGTTGGTAGTCGTCAGGAGATACGAATACAGAATTCATCATTTTTTTTAATATTTTTGATTACAGCTTGATCTCACACCATATTTTTGGTACAGGCATGGAATATTCAGCGTGGATATCGGTAGCCCAAATTTTCCAGGCCAACCATAGATATCAGGTGTGCGTCGGCGTGGGCTCGAACCCTGGACCATGTGCATGGTCGGCCAGAGTCCTAACCACTGTGCCACCGACGCACATGAAACAGTGAACAATGCAAGTAAGTCGACTTCATATTGAGACTTGTTGTGAAGTTATGTTGTCTAGTAAGAGGAGGAGTAGGATGAAACTTCACAATTGAATCACATCCAACTCAAAGAACAAAGCCATGCCGGAGACGTTTGTAACTCTCTAATAATAATATTGTTATCTCTTTTTCTTTTCAGCTTTCTAATGATCTGTTAGAGGTGTATAATAAATTTCATTTGAAATCAGCAATCCTTGAAGGTAGTACATACATTTCAAATCCCAAAGGTAATGTTTGACGTCTTGATGTGCCTAAGAAAGAAATCTATATTATCATCGTTGTAATAATAATAATAATAATATTTATTATTACAGATTATACTGTTCAAGGATATGTGGATAATTTAGCTGGACATGTTGTTAACAGGTGTTATGAAATGTATCCAAATAGTCAAAATGCAGTCATAAATTGTGGACGTCTTCAAAGTTCGGCAACATTGATAGCCTCTCCGGGTATTTATTTTACTACTACTGGGTAAGTAGATGGAGAGAGAGAGAGAGCGGGGTGTTCATTTTCCATTTCTATTTTTTTTTGTGTGTGACTCATTTCAGGCAACAGCTCTGCTAAGTTGTGATCCAATTGATATTTAACACAGAAAAGGTGGCTGTGATGGCTGAGTAGCTTTGGCATTTTTGATGAAATCATAGGGTTGAACAAAGCAAGAACAACAATTGTACCAGGATAATACGAGCTCATCTTTTATTATTTGAAGGATTCTTCTCAACTGGTTACAACCTGAACGTTAAAAAATATGAATTACATTAAAGATATGAACATACTTTTCCTCGATCATAAGGAGTAATTGGTAGGAATTAACAGTAACATTAGTCCGGAATGATTTAACTGATTAAGAGTTACAAGCACTGACTATTTATAGAATAATTAGACAATTAGGCTTGGAAACAAAAAAAACAGGGTTGTATATATATATATATATATATATGTGTAGAAACAAGGTTTAGCTAGAAAGAGCATAACAAAAAGTAGATTACGTAACTAAAGAAAGCATCTTATCTAATAGCCAATAGAAAAAAGGAAAGAAAAGAAACAAGGTAGGGTGAGTCATGTTTAGATGAGAGAGTAAAGTTTTCGAAACATGAAAAAGGTAACTCATGAAAGTTGTATATTATTTGTTATCACCAGGGCAGTGCAAGATTCATCACTGTCTCTTTCTGCGTACATAGATTTGGTTTAAGTCGTTTGATACCAATTGCTTCCGCAAAGCGTAGCAATCTAGGTTTCTTTTGCTTGTTAATTATTTTAAACGACTTCAGGTTGTCTACAATATGACCAGTGTCCAATAGATGACGAGCAATAGCACTGTTTAATGCTTTCGGACCTTTCAGTTTCAGGTTTTTCGGTATGTGTTCATATATGCGGACACTAACCCTTCTCTCTGTTCTTCCAATGTATGTGCTTTGGCACGTACATGTAAATTGGTTGACACAGTCAGAGGTAACATGAGGTGGGTATTTGTCCACTTTTCATTGTCTCAATTAACTAGTTGTCTGATAAACACATGCAAGCTTGGCGGCTGGATATGTTCTCTTCATGGCAGCGTTCAGTCTGCATCTTATTCTACTAGCAGTATCATCACCTTTGAATGCAAGCTGCAGAAAGATAGGCTTTTTATCTACTGTTCTGCTTTTCACTTTTTCAACATGACACGTCTCCCATACTTGTCGATGAACTTTTGTGGGTAACCGTTGTCGCGTAGGCATTTCTCCACAATGGATAGCTCTTCCTCAATCTTTTCTTCTGAACGCAGTTTCCTCACACGATCAAATAATGTTCTCACCAATCCCTTTTTGTAACTTATAGGGCAGAAGCTTTTGAAGTTAAGCTAAACCGCCCTCCACGTCTCTTTTCTGTGTATATATATTATGATTTTGCCGTTTTTATCTCGTTGGATACCCAAATCCAGGAAATGGAACTTCTCTTCTTTTTCATACTCCATTGTAAACTTAATAGGGTGGGCGCTGTTCAAGACTTGTAATACTTGAGATGCATCATTGAAAGAATTAAAGATAACGAAGGTGTCATCGACATACCTGGTATAGAAGTTTGTCTGGCTGATTGAGGATTTTAACCTTGTTTGTTCTAGATTACCCATAAAAATATCTGCCAGAATCTGACCCAGGGGCTTCCCATGGCGACTCCGTCAGTTTGGTGGTATAGAGTGTTGTTGAACTGGAACTGTACGTCTTTGGTACACATAAGTAAAAGTTGTTGGAGTTCGTTCTTGGGCAGAGGAAGAAGTTCGGCATATTGACATATAATTTGTATTGTTTCCTCCAATGGGATCCTTGTAAACAGTGAAGACACGTCGAAAGACACCATAAATTTATTTGAGATTCTTAGATTCCCTAATTGTTTAGCGAACTGGAAGGTGTCTTTCAGGCTGTAGACTACTAATTTACCACGCATTGGTTCTAAAATTTCTGCTAGCCACCTAGCTACTTTGTGATACGGCGAATTAATCATAGATGATATTGGTCTCGTAGGGATATCAGGCTTATGCATCTTTGGCAAGCTGTACATGTAAAATTATAACTAAGAAGAATAGGATGACTCGGAAGATTTACGTAAAATTAGGTAGAAGTGTAAAAAATAACAAAGTCAAAAGATAGTTAAAAGAGGAGCGGAAAAATCGTTTTGAAAGACTTAATACATATTACGCAGTTGGGCATGGGAAAGCAAGGGACTGTACAAAGTTTTGTTAGAGGCGACTCTATGTCCACTGTTGACGAGCTGAGCTGGTATTGACCTACGTAAAGCTTCATTTGGACCTTTGCCAAACCAAGATGGGAGGTGTTCAGAAATTCGACGATGAACTTGCCTGATCGTACGTCTAATGTAACCAGCTCCGGACGAGCAGTTAAACTGGTGAATACACATGGAAGAGGCGAAACAGAACAGTCTGTCTTTATTTCTTGAACTAAGTATTGGTCGGCTAATGAGTATATAGCATACCTGCGTTGAAAGTTGTCGTGATACAATCTCATTAATAACATTACCCGTGAATAGTAATTCTTTTTTCCCCGGCATTTTAAATAGATCACACAATATAATTACTGATTCACTGTATGTGGAGATATTTGGTTTTCTAAATCTCAGTGATTTAAATAATCCACCAGTAAATGGACGTTTTATTGTAGTCAGTAAACAACAGTCGACAGGTAATTCAATAAAATATTCCTTATATACTTAGTATTTTATTATATATATATATATATATGCTTTGAAGTTATCGTATGAGCTGCATTGATTTTCTATGGGTAGGGTAGCTAGCTCAAATGTCAACTTCCTCTCTTTTTCTGGGTTTGGAACCGTCGATTATTCTACTCTGAACTAGTAAATTAGGCGATGTTTGCGTGTGTGTGTGGCGTGTCTGTTATGTTCTCTGAGCTGATGGATGGTAGTTTAAATTGTGATGCCGGTTATCCTTCTGCATACAACACTTCCTTAATGTGTGGAGTGAGGTATTTTCAGGATAATCCTTGAATCACATAACAGTCTTTACCGAGAGGATTTTCTCCTCTCATTTACTTGGATTCTGTGATTGGTATCGATAGTGTTCCACACACTGAGTCAATCAGTGTGGATTTGTTCTCTATCAAATTGATCAGTATGTCTGTTAAGTGAAGATTGATCTGAATGCCAATCAACATTAAAATCGGCCGAGTGCAGTGGAAATAGGTTGTTCTGATTGATTGGCGACTCGGCTAAGGTACTTTGATTGGATATTAGTCAGTGACTAGTGCAATGTGTCTAGTCCTTTGGTTGTTTGATGCAGACTGAATTCTGTCAGTCAAGTTTGCAATGTGGTCAGCATTCTAGGTGGCTCGCAATCACGGTTCATTTTGTTGATATATTAGAGGGTTTGAGGCAATCGGCAGGAAGCCTTGGATCTTGGTTTTGTTGTGCTATTTGGCACTTATCAGTCATATCTGCAACTTCGAAAGAATTTATATCCCTTGTGAGATTCGAATCCGCGTTGCTCAGTGCTGTAGTTAGAGATGTTACCACTGTGCTATGTGGGCTCGTGATTGACCTCCTTTAGGACAGTATTGGATATTTTGATTGGTCGGCGATTTGACCAAGACCAAGGTGACAAAAAGAACAAAATTTTATAATCATCAAATCGCATGGTGAGTCATAAGATGTTCACTATTTTCAGCTGATTCCTATCAAGTAAAATATGGAATACTGTTGTACTTATATGTGTAATGCGATAAAAGTTTCTCGAATAAAGGATGAAATCGTGACCAACAAGCCTAGGAATAAGATATTGAGGCATATAAATTCTAAGATTACATAAGTGGTTAGGAAGTTTTTAAATACATAAATGATATATAAAAAGGCACATAATGAACTAAGCTCATTTAGTTAGATGTCAGACATATGAAGCATGATACGTCTAATTAATTCATGACGATGGAGTTGAGTAGAAGTGAAAAGAAATCGACATTTACATTCAATAACAGATGATGTAGAGAAACGCTTACTACAACTTCTCTTTGAATACATGAATCAGGCTTTAACTGCTTGACAGCGGTGACCTCTGTCAACTTCAAGAAACTTGAGTCTGTTTATTCATTCTTTTCAAAGAGTTTATGGTGTCTACTTCATGTTCTGTGTACTTCAGTATCTTACTGCTAGACTTGCTCGCCACATTTATGTGCTAGATAGTTGGAGGCAATCAGCAGGAAGCCTTGGACCTAAGTTTTGTGGTATTTGTCACTCATCATCACCATTTGGCACTCAAGGCTTCCTGTTGATCGCCTCCAACTACCTAATATCATCAAATCAATGTACACCGTGATGGCGAGCTACCTAGCGTGGTGGCCACGTTGCAAAACCTGACTGATAGAATTCAGTCTGCACCAAAGAAAGGACTAGACACGTCACATTAGTTACTAGTGTCCAATCAAAATACATTTATGTGTTTTATTCGAGAAACTTTTATCTCATTACACACATAAGTATAACAATAGAAAAATCCAAGGTCATGATGGGCCCCTACATTGACTGGTTATACGTCTTCGTGAATTAGTTTCCCACTGAAATTTACAGGCTTTTTTGACGATTTGCATACTTTAACGTGTCGAGGCGAGGTCAATTCCTGTCAGTGGATGCTACTATAAGCTTATTTTCAGTCTGAATTTCACAGTTAATAAGTTGCTAGTTAACGATTACAGTAAACTTGGAATTATTGGGTTACTTCGCGAGTACTAGACTAAGATAGTTAACTGTTCATGTCACAAAATGAAATTTAATTACAGTATAAGTAATGGATCCTGTTGGTCACGGCTATTCAGGTTATGCTAGGAACAAGTAACCTTTGGCTGATAAAATGTATTAAATAGGATACAGGTCGCTCTAGTTTCTAACTCACTTTCAATCTACTTTGATCATGACACAATTAACCGAAGGGTGTTTTAAACTTTCACTTCTAGGCATGCGAATGGAAATGAAATGTAACAACCATTGAGGCTCATATGTTTATATTATGAATATATACAGAAATAATAGGATAATAGTAACATTTTTACAAGAATAACCGATTTACAAGGACATGTTGTATTCGTATTATAGTCTGCGGTTCATTTAATAGTAAACTTTACAACCTTTTGGTGAACTCTTGCATTTCCCGCAGTGCAACATCGGGATTTCGTTGGTTGGGGGGCTGACAAGGCGACTTCGAAATCATTCATAAGTATTACAAAATATTTTACTTAATTGCGGTGCTAAGTGGGCAGCATTTCCTTTCATCTCTATAGGTACCATGATCACCATTCTTAATTATTGTTCCACGTTTTATGCTTCAATGGACTAAAGGGCTACGTTAAAACTGTAATATAACATAACTATTCACTTCCAGTATATAGGTTGTATGTAGTTGATAAGAGATACCACCGAGTGAAGTAATAAACAATGAATCTCATGTTTTTATCCTGCATCATGTGTTGTTGTTATTTCTTTGTTGAAACTCATTGAAAGAAGGAATTCTTGTACGAAATGTTTAGGGATTCCTGGCATTCTTTTGTACTTCGATTGTTTAGAATTGGCACGCATTTTCTCCCAGTCAAATCAGTGTTCGTATTTGTTTGTATGTGTATTGAATATAAAGAAATATCGCATACCATATCTCTTTTCACGCCTAGTTTATATTATTCGATGTTAAGTCTTCAGAGGACACCCACTTTGGCCAATATAGGGATAGACTTCATGTTGTAGATGGTGTTGATATTGTCTTTTGTATATTTTTGCGTCCTTTGGTCAATACAGTAAAGGACAAGCTCTGCGGCAGAAGGAAGGTTAAACTACCACTGAAAATACAAGTGAACAAAAGGATAAATAAACCTCAATCAACTACACACAGTCAAGGTCATCAGAAACGAGAGTTTTATCTTAGAAGTGAACATTGAAGATGTCTAGAAGGACAATATTAAAGCTCTTTTGCAATTAAACCATCATCCGTTTCAGGAAACTTAACCACACCGAAAAATTCTTTTTATTTAAGTATTTACATGATTGAACACTGTTAACAGCACTAATATATGAGTGGAAGTTGAATGGTTTGTGGATAAACAAACAATATTTCAAAGAGGGAAATTCACTCTGCTGACTTTATAGATCAACTTCACGATTCTTCATTTGGTTTTTAGATTCATTAGGCATTTCCAGTTGGTTGATAATGTGGCGACGTTTGAAACGATGTTTGCGGGGTTTGAGTCTCAGTGTGGGGGTGATTCTGTCTGTCTGTCTGTTTTCGACATAGAACTTTGCACAAATGTGCGGAAGTTCAAGTCGCCACACTCCCTGTAGCACGCGAAGCAAGAGAAGAAAGTATAAGAAAAGCATAATAGAAACTGTGAGCAGAGGGGTGAGACAAAGGAGGAGTAATAACGAAGAACAAAACAGTTTCATTGGAGATCATAAGTCACAAGGAGTGGATGCATCTGCGCCACTGAGAACGATTTTGAGCCATGTCACCAATTGTTTCCAACCATAGATTTTTACCGTCCCGAGGATCCCAACCAGGAAGTCTACACCTTCCTACGTGGCTTAGACCAACTGTTGTGGATTTCATTACCACCACACTCACTGGAGAGTCCTGATACGTTCAGCTGACGAGTTAAGAATAGCTGCAGTCATCTGAGGGAAACACTTAACTGCTGTTACACTCATATTGTTTAGCAGAATGATTTCACCTTTAGATCCTCAATTGGTGTAGACGATTGGCACCATAACGGTTACTACTTTGAGTTTGACTGTGCTATCCAAACGACCTTTCTGGCCACGGTAGGACCTACACGGACGTCCGTTCCAACCAGTTCAGCTTGTTGGGTCATTTCGATATGTAATGGTGACCACCACATCAGTGTAGCAGGTATAAGTCTTTGTAATACCCCAAAACCACCAAAGTCTCACTTATTCTTTCTCCCATATATTTCTGTTCATTATACTTCTCAAGTGTTGGTTTGTAAGGGTTTGATTGATTTAAACTTTAACCACGAATTGACTTCAGTTAGAGAACCATTAGCGACAGCCCGCTGTATCTTAATTTGGGAACCTCCAATGATACACCAATATGGCCCCACTAGGGATCGAACCCAAGACCTTCAGGTTACAAGGCGAGTTCGTATACTATTCAGCCACTGGGAAGGAGTCAGTCAGCTGGTCCATGAATTATAATTGCTGCCAATTCGCGATATGTAGCGCGACTTCCAACCAATGTCATCGATGAGTATCTCACCCACACCCAACTTGTTGGATCCCGATGATCACGACTTCCCACTGGTATTACAAGGAAATAAATCTCGTGGTTAATCACTAAAGAGCACTAGATTCAATTTTCAAATGTTAGTTTTCAGGGAGTTGATTGACGTGAAAGTTGACCCCAAATATTCAACGCTTGCATCGGTAGGCAATTGGAAATTGCTATAAGTCAAAACTGATGGGCCACTGAATTCTCTAGCTTATTGTAGTATTTAGTGTCTGGGAAACTGAACTACTGCACACACAGTCAGTCATTCTGTCTCTCTAACATGTATACATTTATAAATTAGGGGAATTTTACAGTGGCATAATATTATTTCAGAGACAATTTTCCATCCATAATCATACTGTGGTAGTGGATAATAACCTTTTAGAGATTTGAGCTTTACTCTTGTGATGTTTATCCCTCATCAGTAGTACAACGTTTTATGGAATGTTCAACAGACTAACCTTGTAACCTGAAAGTCATAGTTTCGGTCTCTGGTGGCTTCGTTTTTGTGCCCAGATGAAGAATCTCAGAGTAGAACGAGTCAACTGATTAGTACTCTGTGGTTTCGGCACTCCACCTCCAATTGATAAATCGTAAGCAGGAATCTTACTCTATCTGCTTCAGTCTGAGTAAGCAACTAGGTAGTACTGTCAGCCCTCACACTAAGCTTGGCATGTAGCCTGATACATGAAGAGTGTATTCTGGGTAATGGAGTTTTAACACCACAGAGAAAGAGAAAATAAATCATTATACTGTGTTATTAGACTTTTATTAGGTGAGACAGACCTTATGTACTAGGCTTCGAAGGTTAGTAATACTACATAGTTGCCAGGACAGGCTGAAGTAGGTGAGGGCGAATTCGGACTCGGGACCTTTTAAAAGAAAGTGGATTCTTCAGTGATTGAGCCCAAAAGCTTCACGTTACGAGGTGAACTGGTTGTAACCAATCAACAACTGATTGCATTCCCAGTTGAACACAGGGCTTCAAGCTTAGGCTTTGAAGTTTCATAATCACTGGTAGTTATTTTCTTACGAGGTGGGGTCGCTAGCCTCACTCCCAGCTTCCTATCTTTATCGGACTTACTGCTGGCTAATCGGAGTTAAGGAGTGTAACGGCCAAGAATCGAACCCCGGACCACGTGGGTGGGTGGCTCCAAATAGCCCAGTGCATAACGCCTAGGGTAATGCGGATGCATCCATTCATGAGTCCTGAATGGGAGAAAGTTCGTATCCCAGATTCCACTGCTAGTCACTACCAAATTACGTCAATCAACCACTGGGTTATGGCCCGTTTCAGTTATTTTAATAAGTGATATATCCCACTTTCTTCCTTATTCATGATCGATCAGTTCCTTTTTTTCTATTTTTCTTCAGATTCAGTTTATGAACCAGATTTCCTTTGTCTACTTTTGGAAGCATTAAAGACGACTAAATCTGCTGCAATGTGTAATATTTATGTAATAATGACAAGTAATAAGTCGACAGTAGATTCACCTAAACTAAATATAACTCAAAAATCTGATCCAAATTATTCATCTGAACGCCACAGTCATAAATATCGTCATCAGCATCAAAGTCAACACCGCTCAGAAAGCCCAAAGCAAGAGCATATTAAAAATTCATTGAACCATACACTTTGGACACATGGTTATCTACATCATATTGACTTGAAAAAACCAATTCTAGTTCTATCAGTGTTCGAAAAAGGTCAGTTTTTATTAGTGTTTTTCTATTTCCTGTTTGCATATATATACATAGTGTTCTTTGAGTTGGATGTGATTCAATTGTGAAGTTTCATCCTACTCCTCCTCTTACTAGACAACATAATTTCACAACAAGTCTCAATATGAAGTCGACTTACTTGCATTGTTCACTGTTTCATGTGCGTCGGTGGCACAGTGGTTAGGACTCTGGCCGACCATGCACATGGTCCAGGGTTCGAGCCCACGCCGACGCACACCTGATATCTATGGTTGGCCTGGAAAATTTGGGCTACCGATATCCACGCTGAATATTCCATGCCTGTACCAAAAATATGGTGTGAGATCAAGCTGTAATCAAAAATATTAAAAAAAATGATGAATTCTGTATTCGTATCTCCTGACGACTACCAACCTTCTTCATGATTGTGATTGGTTGATGCACGTCTGTATTGATCGTTTTTATTAACCTGGAATTTGAATACTTTTCGTTCTTTTTATTAGTTGATAAATCCGATCTATAGTCATCTATAGTGTATGTTAATTGCTTATTCAATTCATCTGAGTAGTACTAGGCTTCTAGGTATATATTACCTGACATCGGTTTGGGTGTTTCCGTTAAGTTTAAAATTCCTACATTATCTCGTTTGAATTAGTGTGTCCATAGTTGTCTTCTACATGCATATCGATGATATGGAAGAATACATGTTGTGTGTTTTGACAGCTACTCTATGCGTTGTGGGACTGTGAGTCGATGGGAATGACCACTTATTGTGGTGTTTATCACAGTTTATGCAATTCATTTTGTAGATGGTATTGATCTTGTCGTCTTTTGCTGTTGGATCTCTCAGTCTGCACGACAGTGAATGAAGTAGCTGCGTTGATTAATGTCCCACATCTGTTTCAAATGGTTTTCGTATTCTAGCTATTATTGTTATTTGTGAAATATTCATTATATCTGATAGGATGTATGGGCTCCTTAAACAAGTATATGCCTTGATGCCTTGCTAGTTTCTGGAACTCGAAATTAATTTTTCTATGATGATGAGAGCTGTAGAATCCAGAATTCACGTGTTTTCCTACACTACGTCTTGTCATCTAGATGAAGCTGTATCCTAGAGTAGCTGGTGTTGCTGTCACTGGTCTCGAACATTTTACTCATGGCTTTAAACCACCTTTAAAGCTTTATCCAGTGGTCAACGAGAGCCAGGATGTTTTGTGCAGTTTTCTGTTTTGCGGGAAATGGAGAGTGTTCTGATCATTTCTTTACAAAATATGTCTTTGAAAAATCAATTTAATACCTAAAGTAATTCCTTAACAGACTAATGTGACCTGGGATTTATTATTTTACAGTCTTTCAATCGAATTCATTAATCTTTGTTTGCCTATTGGCTCTTCTTCTTATGAAAAGGGTTTTGAAATAGGTTATTGTAAATCACGAACCTCTTTGATTATATCCCTCCATAAATGACCTCGTAAGGCGGAAGTTGAGTAGACTTCAGTTTTCATCTCAAAATAGCCCCTAACAGGTGTATGGACGAATACGAATGTCTGGCACTTACAACCGGACTGGTGGAACCACTAAGGGGAGCTGGAAGATCCTGATTCTAAACTTCTTTGTACATGGGCTTCATTGTCCGATAGAATCGAATGGTGTATGAACCTATTTTAGTCACCAGGATCCATAGGAACTTAGATCTTTACGCTGACCCACTAACTTGTGAATTAGACTTCATGTCAAAGAGCCGATTGAGGGGTGTTCCCTAAAGACAACCACCTGGTTCGGCTCGGGTAGTACTCTTACTCTCACACACACTGTGAGATCTTGTTTGGTGCATATGTTAGTGCCGATAGTGTTCCAAGTTTTTGTTTTAACATAAAGTTTATTAAAACCACACATCATTTTCAACTTAAATGTGTCCTGTAGAGATCTTAATAGGGATATAGCGATTAACCAGTAGGTTTCTAGCCGTCTGGTAAAGGGGCTTAAGTCCCGCTCCATCTACCTCAGCCATTGCAGCTGGGTAGTAAATGTGGGTTTTAGCTTGTCGCATTGAAAATCTACTCCAGGTGATTGAGTTCAAAGAAACAAAACTAATCGGGATTTTTTTGACTCCCAATTTGAGGGTATATTTGACTGATTTGTTCAAATAACCGGTAAACCAAATTATATATATCCAAACCAAGTTCACTTTTAACGGTCTGAAAAAATTTGGGCATTGGGTATATGATATTCATTATAATAGAGGTTTTTTGTATTTCCCAATGAATGAAAAATGCTAAAGTGGTTTGAACTGAGTCTGGTCGGGTATACTTTTGATGAGGTCGGTGCCAAACAAACAAAACGACCGTCCAGTGTCTAGATCACTTCGATATGGCTAGCAAGCGATACTAGGTTATGTAAGCGGTATGCAACTGCTCATCTGAACCAACGAGTAGTATATAGTTCTACGCATTTGTGTCCCACATTCAATTTATGGTTATCATATTTATGAAGAAGCTTTGTATCTCCATAGTATTGCTGTCTTTTTTCTTCCAATTTCTAGATTGTACTGGTCTGCCATGGCTTGGTCAATTTAGTCATTTGGCTCCAGTAACGGATTTTGCTGGTTCACAGTTGTATGACGATGTTAATGACACTTCACCATTCCCCGTTCGTACACCGGATTATTTAAGTTACAAAACTGGTAAGTATTGCCAGTATATATTTCTTCCTCATCTTCATCAAGTCTTGACTGGCCTAGCTGGAGTCACCAATACTGGCAACCAATCGTTTGTGGCTCTTAGTGATCAAATTAAGAAAGTGGCTAGCTGGATGGCTAGGGCACGTGTCATGCATTTCAAGCCACCTTACGGCTTTAATCATCGACTGATATTAGCTGACAGGATTATGTTGGAGAAGAGTTAAAGGAAGAGGGGTTGGTCAAATGAAGACAGCATCAGTGGACGAAGTCTTTGACTATTATTGATCATCATCATTGTAAATATATCATCCATGAGGAATTCTGAAAGTTTACTGCACACTGAAGTTAGCGAAATGAATAAGTTGTCCAGAAGGACAATCTAGAAACCTTTCAATTATGAAGCATCCTTCTCAACAAAAAGAATTAGTGTATTTGTTCACAAAATTTAAATATCAATCAGCGATTGTGAAAATCCATGTGATATGAAAGAGATTATAAATTGAGTGTGATTTGTCCAGAAGTATCATTGAATGTGCGTCGATGATGGTTCAATGGTAGAACGCTTGCCAACCACGTCACCTATGACTGTCTAGGCTGGGATCTCGCCCAACGGACTCCTAAGCCTCACTTAGCTGGTAGTAAGTCTGGGGAAAAGGCGAGGTTGGACACAAGGCCATGAAAAAAAGACCACCGCCAATGGAACTTAAAAGCTCATGCTTGAAGTCCTCTGTTCTCCAATTGGAACAGGGGTTAAATTGGCATATGCCTACTTTGAAGAGTGGCGCTACCTTTATTCGGCGGGTACTAGGGAGCTTCAAAAAATAGGTCAAAATATACCACTAGGATTTCATAAAAATTCGATAACATTTCTTGACGAATGTGCAACAAATGTAACGCAATTTAAGAATATATTATCACCGATGTACACCAGAACACATTTTCTCAGTACAAAATTTCATTTAAAAAGCATACAAAAAAGTATAATTTTTCATTAAACCACCCCAGCAACAGAGTATGACGCAACGATTAATGAGGATATGCAATGCACTACATTTCATGTCTGTAGAAACTGTAGATCGATATATTTTCAGAAATAAATCTTGTAATTCAAACTAACTTTTCGTTCTTAATATAAGAGTAGAATTAGGACACTGTGGTGGCATATAATCATTTTATTTGATATAACACACTGTATTAATAACTGGATGACATTTCAGTTGCGATATATTACTGTTCATAATCATATCAACGTATATACACGACTTTCTAACTTGCTTTATGTAATTTGTAACTGTAGTCTTCTTTATCCTGGAGACCGGCATTGTCATTTCTATTGTATTTGTTTCGGATTGATTCGAGAAGCAAAGGTTCTTTGACTTAACTATCTCTCTCCCTAGCAATGTTACTTCTTCATTCCTTGATTTTGTCCTATTAGATTTTATTGCGTACGTTACAATGGCAGATTTTTGTCGCTTTATTATTATGATTATTATTATTCTCTTAAGTTCCGAGTGGAACACAGAGCTCCAACAACACATCTCCATTTCATTGTGTTCTCTGCAGTCCTCTTTAGTTGACTCCACGATTGTCTATAGGCTCTCGTCTGCCTACACATTCTCCTCCATGTCACCCTCAGATCCCCACCCGAACTCGTGGTTTCCCATTCGGGTTCCACTCGAGGGCTTGGTACGCGCACGATGTCACTCAATGGTCTCCTCAGCGTGTCCTATTCATCTCCATTTTCTTCTACATATTTTCTGAGATTGGTTCTTGTTTGACTCGTTGCTTTCCAGAGTTCCTTGTTGCTAATCCTTTTCGACCATCCAACCTTCAGTACCACTGGGAGGAGGCAGCTGTTGATGGCAGTCTTTACCCTGTTGGAAATGCTTTCCGTGAAGTGGTAAGTCTCTGACCCACATATAGGAGCACTGACGACATTAGTGCTGAAAATTCGAATCTTCTTCCTTATTTTCAGTGAAGCGGATTTCCATACTGATATCAAAGTAATGAAGGTCTGTGCTGTCTTTGCGATTCTGGCTGGCTATGACATTATAATCTGTGCCACCTGTATGTGAAACGATGCTGCCCTAGGTAAGTGAAAGTGGTGACCTCCTCCACATTTCTCCCGTCTGTGGTCATCGATGCTTCTTGTTGTTGGTCGTCGGGTATCTTCATCACTTCCCTTCTTCTCTATCTTCACCTGAAGTGTCCCGTTTTCACCGCTTCTTCTGAAACTTGTTGGTTTTTTCTTGCAGATATCTGAGTTTGTGAGACACTGAACATAAATCGTCTTCGAAATCCAAATTTGCCTATTTATTTATTTATTTAAACGCGGAAAAACTTGTTACACTATGGCACCAAAACGATGCACCACAAAATAATGATAAAACAACATAGATTAAAAGTAAAAGATATAATTTTCAAGTATTGGTTTTATAGGGATTTTGTTTGATTGCATGGAGGATTTAATCATGAGCTGACATCAGGTCCCAGTGGCTCAATGGTCTACGAGCTCGCCTTGTAACCAGAAGGTCCTGGGTTCGAACCCCGGTGGGTGCGTACTGATGAGGAGTCCCAAACTAGGACGAAACAGCTGTCCAGTACTCCAGGTTTGCCAGTGGTTCTCTAACTGATGTCAGCTCATGATTAAATCCTCCATAAATATATAAGTAGAGAATGGATAAAGAACTTCATCTGGAAGGAAAACAGTCACACTTAACAAGTTCAAACAGTATTCGTTAACTGTCATCGGGAAGGGAAGAAAGAAGGAAATTGCAACACGTTCGCCATTGATTACGATTCTTGGCCATATCCGATAATGTTTCGAGCCGTCGATTCGAGCTACCTCTCGGACTCAAACCAGGGGGACGTGACGTACCAACCGATGCTAACGTAGCACAGATATCCTTCTTCCCACGATGCCACTTCACGGACTGACCATCTCTCCGCCTTTTCCATCCCATCCAAGGGCTAGCGAACAGAGACCTGTACAGAAGCCTCTGGGATGACATTCGCAGCACATGTCCAAGCCACCGGAGCCGGTGTTTCCAGATGACGACACTCAATGAATGGTGATCTCCACTGTGTTCAAACACGCCGTCGAACCCCAGAATTACTCATACGATGATGCCATCAAACGCAAGCAATCCTGCAGAGACAGCGATGATCGAACACACAGAGTCGTCGCACATCCTCAGCTCGGAGAGGCCAGGTTTCACAGGTGTGGAGTAAGACAGCCAGCACCGAAGCATTGTACACTCGACCTTTGACACCCAGGCTAACGTCGCGACGGCGCCAGAGGTGGCTCAAGTTGGTGTATGCCACCCTAGCTTTCATGATACGGTTGGAAATCTTTTCCGTCACCAATCCGCCAGCACTCACATAACTACTCAGATACATAAATATATCGACAACTTCAAACCGTTCACCTGCAAGAGTGAGTGCAGGTACATACCAAACTTACAGACACTAATCGCCAACTGATTAAGTGCCATTTGGACAGCCTGCATGCTATTGCACAGTAAGACGATATCGTCTGCATACTCGCAGTCGAAAAGTCTATCTCCAGGTAGCAGATCTACACCACCTTCACCCACATCCTTCAGAGCTGACTCCAGAATGTCATCGATGGCAAAGTTAAAGAGAAATGGAGAGATTGGGCAACCCTGTCTAACCCCACTGTTGGTTGGGAACAGTGGTGATAGTTGGTTGTATACCCTCACTCTACCTGAGGTGTTTCTGTATAGGACTTTCAAGATGTTAACAAATTTCTCAGGTACACCTCTCTCTAACAGACAGTTCCAGAGCACAGTTCTGTCCGACGAATATAAGGCAGCCCTAATATCAAGAAACACAACGATCGTTGGCCTGCAATACGTGTGGCGGTGTTCCAACAACAGACGATGGGTGAACACATGATCAATGCATCTACGATCTGAATAAAATCCAGCCTGCTCTTCACGAATCAATCCTTCACGTGTTTTGCACAGCCTGCGGAGCAAGACAGCAACCAATATTTTAGACGCAACTGGTTGTCACATGAATTATGTCGACCCTTTTTAAAGATGGGGACGATAATTGCTTCGTTCCACATTGATGGTACACTCTCTGTCTCCCATATCTTCCTGGTGGCGAGACTCTCGCCACCATCTGTAAAAAGAGTCTTGGGTAGATTTTATGAACCGGGTGCTTTATGGTGTTTTAACTCTTGGAGTTCCTTATGGACCTCCGCTTCTGTTGGTGGGTTGGTAGTGTCAGCAGATACTGAAGCTGGTGGCCAGCTAAACTGTTTCCCGAAGTGCTTTGCCCAGCGTTCCAGGCGTCTTTTCAGGCTGGTAATTGGAGTGCCATCTGCCTCACAGACCGTCTTGCTGACACCTTGTTTCTTGCTGCCGGTGGTTCGTATGAGTTGAAACAGCTTCCGACTTTTGCCAGATGCAGCAGCTGACTCCATCTCATACGCACATTCTGACCACCAGGCTTCGCGGTCCTTACGTAAACACTGTCTTATCTTGCGCGTAAGTTCCTTTCGTTTATTGTTGTATTCGCTATCAGCCGGAATGAACCGGCATTCATTCGGGAGTTGCAAGGAACTCGCAGAAACCCAGTAGTTGTTAGTGGAACATTCTTTCAAGCCGCAGGCGGCTACATTCGCCCTTTGCATAGCACCTTACAGATGAAGCCAATGTTCATCTTTATTACTTGGGGGTTGCTGGCAAGCGTTGATTGTAACTCATTCTGGTATTTCAAAGAAGTAGCAGTTGCTACTAGTTTGCTCACATCAACGTTTAGACGACTGCTTTTATGAACCCCACCAAATCGCAAGACGAACCTGGCACAGACTAACGCATGATCGGAGTCTAGGCATGTGCTCCAGAAGGAGCGGCAGTCTTGTATGCATCCTCGCTACCGGAAACTGACAGTTATATGATCAATCTGAGTCCAAGATTGAATCGCAGAGGTGGGACGCCAGGTAGCGTTACGGCGATGGCTGTGCTGGAAACTGGTGCTGGCTAGAAAATAGGTTGTGATCCGAGCAAAGCGGCAGAAGATGGTCCCTATTATCTGACCTGCGACCACGTAATCCCCGCTAACCACCTAGACGATTCTTCTCTGAGCTTAGACGCCCAACCTGTGCATTCGAGTCCCCGGCCAGCACAACGATATCCCTCCGACCCACTTGTTTCAAGAGATCGCTCAGTTGGTAGTAAAACTCGTCCTTAATTGCATCGGGGCTGCAGTTCGTCGGTGCATAGGCAGAGACAACAAATAGACACCGCCTATTTGGCGTACTACTCCTTACTTGCGTATAACCTTCCAGCCTGACGCCACATAAGCTATTGTTAATGGGGATACAGTCGAGTAATGCAACTTCGGCTCTAGCGCTCAGTGCGACATCGACACCAGCTACGCCAGATGCCAACACCACAGGGTCCCCGGATAAGCGCTGGTGGTACATACTACTAGAACTTTCAGATGGAGAGGATAGTCGAAGCACTTTGTTGAAATCTTGAATGCGGATCTCTGAAATGCAGCAGGCATCGATAGCGAGGCTTTCCAAAGTTCTTACCAAACCTGCCTGTTGTCCGATTTGCATCAGCGTCCGAACATTGTAGGTGACCAGCTTGAGCGCGGCACGCGGTTTCAGGATATCTGTGTTAGATGTCACACTGGGGACAACCATTTTGAGTATTGCTCACTAACATCTCGGAGCGACACAGATAGGCTGGGAATCTGGACTCTCGATTTGACATCCTCCTCCGTTCCTCCTGTAGTTGAGACAATGCTCCTTAGATAAGTGAATGAAGTAACCTCTTTCAAATCCCTCTCGTTGATGGTGATTGGCGCTGGATGTTGCTGCTGCTGCTGTTGTTGTCGTGGTTGGTTATTTTCATAACCTCCGTCTTGTCTATGTTCACTTGGAGTCCTGTCTTTGCTGCTTCTGCGACCAGTTTGTCGGTTTTCGCTTGTAAGTCTTCGATTTTGTGTGACATCAAACATAAATCATCCACACGCGAAATCCAGGTCTTCTAGGTTCTTCACATCGGTCCAGGATATCCTTGTCCCGTTTCTCGTTTCCCACTCACTGTCTGACGCATAATCCAGTCCACCACAATTAGGAATATCATTGGTGATAATAAGCACCCTTGTCTGACTTCTGTGCTTATTCCAAACGCCTCACTGAGTTTTCCGTTGGGGATCACTTGACATGTTCCGTTGTCGTACAGCTGTTGAATAAGGTTGATGAATATTTGGGGTACGCCGTAGTACTCGAGTAGTTTCCAAATTACTTTGCGGTCAGCGCTGTCGAAGGCCTTCTCAAAGTCTATAAAGTTGAGGTACAGGTTTAATTGCCATTCCATGCTTTGTTCTGTGATGATGATGCGTAGAGTTGCAATTTGGTCAGTACATGATTTGCCTTTCCTGAATCCAGCTTGTTCTGGTCGGAGTTCTGTCTCCAGTGCGTCCTTTAATCTCTCCAGGATTTTACTTGGCGTCTACAGGAGCATGATTCCTCGCCAGTTCTTGCAGAGTGAGGCGTAAGTCGCCCTTCTTTGGTAGTTTCACGAGGTAACCTTTCCTCCAGTCAGTAGGCACCTTTCCCTCCTTCCAGACCTTTTGCAATAATGGAGTCAGCATGTCTGCTGTAGTCTCTGGGTCGCTTTCAGTGCTTCAGGGGGTATTCCATCTGGTCCGGCTGCTTTTCCAGCTTTCAGAAGCTTGATTGCATTCAAGACTTCAGCTTTCGTTGGAGGGTCAACTTGCAGTTGTGCGTGCGCTGTTGTTGGTATTTCTGGACGGGTTGCAGGTGATGGTCGGTTCAAGAGTCCTTTGAAGTGATCCGCCCATTGTTTAATCTGTTTTTCTTCCTTGGTAATTGGGTTCCCTTGGCTGTCTTTTATAGGTTTCGCTTGTGTTGATCTCTTCCCGGATAGAGATTTGGTTATCTGATATAGTGTCCTCAGGTCCCTTTTGCCTGCTGCCTTCTCAGCTTCAGTGGCGAGGTTGTCGTAGAATCGTCTTTTGTCCTTCCTAGCACTCTTCTTCACTTCTTTGTCCAGTGCTGTGTAAGTTGAGCTCAGCGTCTCCTTCTCCTGTCCGTCCTTGCATTGAATCATTTTCTCTTTCACCATTCTCCTCTCTTCTATTAATTTCCAAGTGTCCGTTGAGAGCCATTCCTTGTCTTGTCTCTTCTTTCTTCCTAGAACCGTTGAACACGTTTCGTTGAGAATCGCCTTCAGAGACTTCCAATGTTCTTCCACGCATGATTCTTCAGTGATGTCGCGTAGTGTTTCCTGCTTTGCTCTGACAGTTGCAGTGAAAGTGTCTTTTGTGGTTGTGTCCTTCAGTAATTGAGTGTTGAACTTGCATTGTGGCCTATCCCCAGCTATCCTCGAGGCTTTTAGTTTCACCTTGAAAGTCCCTTGTACTAGATAGTGGTCTGAACCCACATCTGCTCCTCTCCTTGACCTTGTGTCCAGTAGGCTCCGTCTCCACTTTCTTGAAATTGAGATGAAGTCTATTTGATTCTTGGTGTTTCCATCTGGTGAAATCCATGTCGTCTTGTGTATATCCTTGTGTTTGAACACACTGCCACCAATCACCAAATCATTGAAGGCGCAGAAGTCTGAGAAGAGTTCACCATTGTCGTTCAGCCATCGTGAGTTCTCTTCCTGTGTTGTCTCCTCCCAGCTTCGCATTCATGTCGCCCATCAGGATTTTGATATCGCCATTTGGGACGTTGTCCATTATTGCTTGTAGTTGTCTGTAGAACGCCTCCTTCTTCTCTTGTTCTGAGACGTTTGTAGGCGCATAGCATTGAATGACTGTAACTTTCCTTCCTTTTGAGTTGAACCTGGCTGTCATTATCCTGGAGGAGATTGGTTCCCACTGCATGAGAGCTTTGGCTGCTGTTGGTGACATCATGATGGCCACTCCCTCGGTGTGCTCGTGGTTGTCCTCTAGGTGGCCGGAATAGATTACTGTCTCTCCAGTAGGTAGTTGGCACCTTCCAGTTCCGTTCCATCTGCTTTCGCAGATTCCCAACACTTCTATTCTGTACCTTCTCATTTCAGCGGCTATCTGGGCAGCCTTTCCAGTTTCGTACATTGTACGAACATTCCAGGTACCCATCCTTACTTTTGCTTTCATCGAAAGAAGGCACATCGGCTGACTGGCTTCCCGAAGGCTTTCACCAGCCTGCGTCATTTCACTTCTCCGATTCCAGCGAAAAGTAAGGCTATTGCTTATGTTTTTAGAATTTTTAATATATTTATTCGTTGAAGTTTCTGTAGCGATTTGGTTGTTTTACGGGGGTGGAGTTGCTAGCACCACGCCCCAACCCTCCCTCTTTATCCGGGCTTGGGACTGGCTAGAAAACTAGCAAGCTAGTAATCTGGCGAGGTTAAAATGCAGGAAATTATGTATAAAAATAAAAGTAAGGTGGGAAGGACACAAGTTACTTGAGGCATGAATATTACTTGAAATCACTGTCTAACAGCACGCGATAAGTTTCATTGATAGTTTGTTGCTTCATTTGATTTATTGTTTGAGGGCTGAGATACTGCCCGGGCGCCCAGACCGAAGCATGTGGTTTTATTAAGGGACCACCGCCCGAGCCTCTGACTTGGAGTCTAATCCACAAGGCAGCGGAGCAGCGTCAGGAGCTGCATCCCATGGATCCCGGTGACCAATATAGTTTCATACGCCATTTGATCCATTTGGCTTCTAGAGCCTATGTACCCCATAGTAACTGCTTTTAGTCTAGCCGCTATCCAAACAACCTTCCAGATATGGTTGGTCCTGCAGGAACATGAGTCCTAGCCAGTTTAGCTTGTTGGGTCGCTGCGGTATTTAAGCCCGACCACCACAGCAAGGTAGCAGTTGTCGGCCGGGCCTTTAGTCATTTCAACATATGTCTGTCTTCTCACTCCCTCATGATCCAGTTCATTACAATAAGAAATATCATCGGTGATACTAAATAACCTTGTCTTAGTCCTACGTTCACTTCAAAGTCTTCACTGAGCTGTCCGTTGTGAATCACTTGGCAGTCGACATCGTCATATAACTGTTGAATGAGGTTGATAAAGGTTTGGAGTAGTGATTAGTGTTGAAACAGTTTCCAAATCACTTTGCAGTCAGTGGTGTTGAAGTCTTTCTCGAATTCGGTGGAGTCGAATGGTGCTTAACAATTAATATCCACCCTTTCCTGTTGGTTTTTATTTGAATATTTTCCTGAGAATTTTGTTGTTCTTTTTATTGTCTAAAAATTCTTACTTCTCCATAGATTCTACACGTTATGTTTCCTGGTCTTCACAATCTGTAATGCTGATGGATATTAACAAAGTGTTTAGATTAAGTCGACGTTTACCTGACAAGTCTGCATTATTATATAAGGTGAGTGTACTCTATTTATTTTTAGAATAATCTGGATGGCATTCGAAGTATTAGGTGTGCTGTGATGGAGTAACCAGTGTTATGCACCGAGTCCTTTAGTGGTACTAATTCACTCCTGTGAGTGGTGTTTGTGATGTACACTGACCAAGCTGAAAGCCTCGTCGTCGCGATATACTTTCACCTGACGGATTATTTTTTTATGATTATTTAGAAAATAAACTGGGCACAATTATAGCACACTTAGAGAGATACCCTCACATAGTTGTTGGATAGAGAAATAGACTAGAAAACACATGATACTGTTTACTCCCTAGTGACTTATCTGTGGATCCATCCCTGTCAACTATGTGAACGAATCTGAAAACAATAAGGATATTTCACATTCACATTTTTCTAACGATTGTCCTATTTTATAAGAATAACTCACCCTATAGCTAAAATAACGACCCAACGGATAGCTGCCACCTCAACTTGGTGGCACTGGGTTCGCACATTGAAATGACCCAACGAGCTATACTAGCTGGAAGTGATGTTTGCTCAGGAACTACCACACCAGAAAAGTCGTTTGGATAGTGGTCAGACTGAAAGCAGTCACCATGAGAGTGTAAGTCGTTGACAATATGATGAGATTCCGCTGGCGAAGTCGTATTGCTGCTGGCGAATAGGAGTCGAAAAGTAGTAAGGTGTTTCCTTCAGAGATAACCAGCAAGGCAGGTGTGTTACCTCTCCGTACTGGAGTGGGTAGATAGATTAGAAAATATCGATTCTGAAAATTGTACACCGTGACTTACATTTTGACCGTCAATAGCTCGTGGTAGGATCTTCTTTACAAGCACTAACTCTGGAAACCATTGTAATGTGGCCGTGTGTGATTGGTGTCAAGCAGTTGTTCCTTGAGTTGTGTTTTCACACAAGTATTTCAAGAAGTCAACTTTCACGGTGTTGAGTGACAGCCTGGAAGTAACAACCTCCCACCTCTTACCCCACACTTCCATAACTACACAAACTTTTTTTATAATCACCTCCTGCGCACGTTTGACGTCTAAACATTCATCAAGTAAAGTCTGAATTAAATAGCGAGTAGCAGTGCTATGACGTTTATCATCTTATAGTGTATTTCCTTTTCTCGATTAATCTGTTTGCCTATCTATCTGTCTATCTGCCTTTTCGGTTAACCTTATTATAGGATTAAAAATCAATCTGAACAGATTGATTTTTAATTCATGATATGGGAGTACTTCACATTATTAAATCTTATTTATAGGAGTTGAATCGACTTCGTTCTGCGGCCACACTATATGGATGTCCAGATTTGTTACTAAAAATTCATTCAATGATTATGTCAATGCATGAGTCAACTATTACTCAGCATAATAATAGTAATAACGATCATATTAAAACACTACAGGATTGTTTAAATCATGTCAGTCGATTGTTACTTCAACAAGAAGTCGACAATCACGGTGATAATGAGGATGGCGATGCACTGAACAAGAGGATGATTACTGTATTTTCTTCTGATAAAAGCTAAAAAAGAATTCTTTGTTTTGTTATAGACAAATTCACATTGTATATTCTATTGTATATAAAAAAATTCCTTTTGCTAAAGATGACTGAAATTTTTTTGTTTATTCAGTCCCAACCATTAATGTCAATCGTTGGTTTTGTAGGAATTTAATTGATTTCCATTTTCATCACGAATCGACTTCACTTAGAGAACCAGTGTAAACCAGGGAGTACCGGACAGCTGTTTCTTCTTGCAGAAACAACACTTCCAAATTAAGTGATTAAAAATGCCTATTAAAATTTTTCAAAAGACTGATTACACAACATAGAGTATTCTTTTCGATAATCTGCTCTTCATCAGGTTCTACGGTTACATATCCATCCATAATAGTGAATGAATTAGTGTTATTAACAACACTAATGTTGTTTCAATAACTGTTATGTTGCTGCTGCTGAGTGGTTAATAGTAGTTTTCCCCGTCGCCAAATTGTTATGTTGCTGCTGCTGAGTGGTTAATAGTAGTTTTCCCCGTCGCCAAATTGTTATGTACTCGTCGACAAATTATTGTTATGTACTGGTCGAGAATTTAATAGTCCTGACGCAAGAAGGCGGAAATCAGAAGACCACTAGGTTTGCGATGATACTTCTATTTTCCAAACACAAGGAGAATGCAAAAAGTGGTATCACACCAAAGTAAGTAAGTCACACAAATTGTGAGAACGAAATATATATATGACAAGGGTGTGAACAATCATTAGACAGTCTTAACATGAATGGCTAATTATAATGAAGTATCGATCCATATATACATAGCGAAATATAGCAGACATGTCAACAACCACCATATATGGATATATGTCACCAAGCAACGGACTGTCAACAAACACTCATATTATATATAATATAAGGGGAATATACATTGTTAAAGGAGACAGGTTCATACAAGTGAAATGGTCACAGACTAAGCGAGCAAACAGAAAGAGAGACCAGCATACACACACACATATATATAAATGGATACATATCACCTCCCCTTTTGAGAAGATTGATGATTAGTAGGATGTTTACCTGGGTTTTTATCTGGAACCTTTGAGCTTGTTGTTGACGTCTGTCGTTTCGTCTGCGTGTTGGGTTTGCGGCTTCGGCTTCGTCCGGAATTGTCTGACATTTTATGCTTCTTGACTGCATTGCATAGCGAATTTAGTGGGACATCAGCCAGATGCAAACGATCGAACCAATCAAGTCCCAAAAGATTTAAATCACTCTTCGTGACGTAACAAATTCCTGTGAATTTGGTATTGCGGAAGGAAACGGGACATTTGAGTTCACCAATAAGTTTGAGCCGCCCACCACAGGCGCTGACAGCAGTCTGAAAAGTATTTGCGATTGGTGGTCTGCCAATATTATTCCAAAGTTTCTCTGATATAACAGTAATATCAGAGGCGGTATCTAGCTGCAGACGTGTATCATGACCATTCATCTGAAGATCAAGATATTTCCGAATACCTGGTGTTGTGACTTGACAGGTTGCGCGTAGACTCAATGACTTTTTGGGGGATTTAGGACCAACATTTTGTCGAGCTTTCGCTAGACTTTGACATCTGGGTTTGCGTGGCTGACAAAAACTATTTTTATGACCGATGATTTTGCACTTGCTGCAACGATGATTTTTGTACGGACAAGACTTTACAAAGTGCCATGCGCCACAGTGCCAGCATGGTGATGGAGGGGTCTTCTTTGTCGTATTTTGTGAAGTTGGACGAGTATCTGTAGATTTCCGCGGAACATTAGAAGAAGGTGGGTCAGGAGTGGATGATGAGAGATTTTCGCTCTTTCGTAATGCATGAATATCAGAGCTTCTGGAAGGTGTTGATTCGACCAGGTGTGTATCTTTCTGCAAATTAATCAGCCGTCGATATTCATCAGCTATGTCATGTAGAGTTAACTTAGGATTTTGCTCTAGCTGATTGAGCAGTCGAGTTCGGATATCTGTGAAACGAGGAGATTGAAGACTGCATATGAGAATCAAGGCTTTGAATTGATCATCTGTTAAGGACCTAAGTCGAAATCTCTCACACTCTCGGTTGACTGTGCCAACGTGAGTAAGAAAATCATCATTTTTATTCATTGTCAGCTTGAGGCAACGATAACGTATGCTGAATAATGAGGAGTGGTCTCCAAAATGTTCACGCAGCAGCTTTGTTGTATCATCGAAACACTTGTCACGTGGTTTCTGGGGTAAAATTAGGTTGCAGTACCGTTCATATTCTGCCGGACCCGATTTACGTAGCAACACTCGCACCTTCCAGGCATCGTCTTGTGAGGCGAGATCAACAGTGAATAACTCCTCATAACGTTGATACCATGTGTCAAAAGTGACATTAACCTCTGGGTCATAATTGAACTGTGAAATACTGTTCACAATGCCGTCGACAGATGGTAGCATGGTATGATTGGGATTGATTGAAGGTGAAGCTGGACCAGTCTGTTGGTTGATGAACATTTCCATTAATTTCATTTGTCGTCCAAACAATAATTCCAATTTAGAAGGATCCATAGTAAATTGTTATGTTGCTGCTGCTGAGTGGTTAATAGTAGTTTTCCCCGTCGCCAAATTGTTATGTTGCTGCTGCTGAGTGGTTAATAGTAGTTTTCCCCGTCGCCAAATTGTTATGTACTCGTCGACAAATTATTGTTATGTACTGGTCGAGAATTTAATAGTCCTGACGCAAGAAGGCGGAAATCAGAAGACCACTAGGTTTGCGATGATACTTCTATTTTCCAAACACAAGGAGAATGCAAAAGTGGTATCACACCAAAGTAAGTAAGTCACACAAATTGTGAGAACGAAATATATATATGACAAGGGTGTGAACAATCATTAGACAGTCTTAACATGAATGGCTAATTATAATGAAGTATCGATCCATATATACATAGCGAAATATAGCAGACATGTCAACAACCACCATATATGGATATATGTCACCAAGCAACGGACTGTCAACAAACACTCATATTATATATAATATAAGGGGAATATACATTGTTAAAGGAGACAGGTTCATACAAGTGAAATGGTCACAGACTAAGCGAGCAAACAGAAAGAGAGACCAGCATACACACACACATATATATAAATGGATACATATCACCTCCCCTTTTGAGAAGATTGATGATTAGTAGGATGTTTACCTGGGTTTTTATCTGGAACCTTTGAGCTTGTTGTTGACGTCTGTCGTTTCGTCTGCGTGTTGGGTTTGCGGCTTCGGCTTCGTCCGGAATTGTCTGACATTTTATGCTTCTTGACTGCATTGCATAGCGAATTTAGTGGGACATCAGCCAGATGCAAACGATCGAACCAATCAAGTCCCAAAAGATTTAAATCACTCTTCGTGACGTAACAAATTCCTGTGAATTTGGTATTGCGGAAGGAAACGGGACATTTGAGTTCACCAATAAGTTTGAGCCGCCCACCACAGGCGCTGACAGCAGTCTGAAAAGTATTTGCGATTGGTGGTCTGCCAATATTATTCCAAAGTTTCTCTGATATAACAGTAATATCAGAGGCGGTATCTAGCTGCAGACGTGTATCATGACCATTCATCTGAAGATCAAGATATTTCCGAATACCTGGTGTTGTGACTTGACAGGTTGCGCGTAGACTCAATGACTTTTTGGGGGATTTAGGACCAACATTTTGTCGAGCTTTCGCTAGACTTTGACATCTGGGTTTGCGTGGCTGACAAAAACTATTTTTATGACCGATGATTTTGCACTTGCTGCAACGATGATTTTTGTACGGACAAGACTTTACAAAGTGCCATGCGCCACAGTGCCAGCATGGTGATGGAGGGGTCTTCTTTGTCGTATTTTGTGAAGTTGGACGAGTATCTGTAGATTTCCGCGGAACATTAGAAGAAGGTGGGTCAGGAGTGGATGATGAGAGATTTTCGCTCTTTCGTAATGCATGAATATCAGAGCTTCTGGAAGGTGTTGATTCGACCAGGTGTGTATCTTTCTGCAAATTAATCAGCCGTCGATATTCATCAGCTATGTCATGTAGAGTTAACTTAGGATTTTGCTCTAGCTGATTGAGCAGTCGAGTTCGGATATCTGTGAAACGAGGAGATTGAAGACTGCATATGAGAATCAAGGCTTTGAATTGATCATCTGTTAAGGACCTAAGTCGAAATCTCTCACACTCTCGGTTGACTGTGCCAACGTGAGTAAGAAAATCATCATTTTTATTCATTGTCAGCTTGAGGCAACGATAACGTATGCTGAATAATGAGGAGTGGTCTCCAAAATGTTCACGCAGCAGCTTTGTTGTATCATCGAAACACTTGTCACGTGGTTTCTGGGGTAAAATTAGGTTGCAGTACCGTTCATATTCTGCCGGACCCGATTTACGTAGCAACACTCGCACCTTCCAGGCATCGTCTTGTGAGGCGAGATCAACAGTGAATAACTCCTCATAACGTTGATACCATGTGTCAAAAGTGACATTAACCTCTGGGTCATAATTGAACTGTGAAATACTGTTCACAATGCCGTCGACAGATGGTAGCATGGTATGATTGGGATTGATTGAAGGTGAAGCTGGACCAGTCTGTTGGTTGATGAACATTTCCATTAATTTCATTTGTCGTCCAAACAATAATTCCAATTTAGAAGGATCCATAGTAAATTGTTATGTTGCTGCTGCTGAGTGGTTAATAGTAGTTTTCCCCGTCGCCAAATTGTTATGTTGCTGCTGCTGAGTGGTTAATAGTAGTTTTCCCCGTCGCCAAATTGTTATGTACTCGTCGACAAATTATTGTTATGTACTGGTCGAGAATTTAATAGTCCTGACGCAAGAAGGCGGAAATCAGAAGACCACTAGGTTTGCGATGATACTTCTATTTCCAAACACAAGGAGAATGCAAAAAGTGGTATCACACCAAAGTAAGTAAGTCACACAAATTGTGAGAACGAAATATATATATGACAAGGGTGTGAACAATCATTAGACAGTCTTAACATGAATGGCTAATTATAATGAAGTATCGATCCATATATACATAGCGAAATATAGCAGACATGTCAACAACCACCATATATGGATATATGTCACCAAGCAACGGACTGTCAACAAACACTCATATTATATATAATATAAGGGGAATATACATTGTTAAAGGAGACAGGTTCATACAAGTGAAATGGTCACAGACTAAGCGAGCAAACAGAAAGAGATACCAACATATATATATATATATATATATATATATATATATATATATATATATATATATAAATGGATACATATCAATAACATCGAATCAATAATGATAATAATAATATGAATCGGTTACACTTCGATGGCATCATATTAACAATACACTAATTGTCAGAGAAATAAGGAAAGGGAATATTACAATTTCATGAATTTCTAGTTTCCACTGAAGGCCATGGCAGTAGTAGTGGCTGGACTTGCTTCTTCTCACAAGGCACTGATTGTTTAAGGCGAATCGCGATAGCCTCTACTGTTTGGAATATGCAGTACCTGTATGTTTTTGGCCATTTACTTGGTACCCGGTAGATAATAGAGATGGATTCCTCAATTCTGGCTTTGTGGCCATCTTGGACCAGGTGGTCCAATATTGAACTTTCGATGGCTTTTACTACACCTTTATTTAGCCACACTGGTAGGTGTTCTCCAGGGAGCACGAAAAATCAAGTTCCTAGACCAACGGCCAATATAACTCGCTCCACAAGCGCAGTTGAATTGGTAGATACAGTTAGAAGTGGCTCGTCTAAGTACTTCATCTTTCATTTGAGGAATTACCATCGGTCGTGTAGAAAATAAGACTTCTAGTTTGCGAGCATTAAAAGTTCTTTGAACTGAATTTCTTAACCTCTTCGTAGTTATTTCACTAGATGGGTCACCCTTGAATTGCAGTCGTATGTATAAAAGCATCTTATATACAGATGTAGAATAGCTCTTTTCCGCTTTCTTACCCATGTGTTTCTTGATGAACTTTTCTGGTTAGCTATTTTCAATCAAGATAGCACATAATAATAATAATTTTGCTTTATTCCAAAACAGTACTAATGATACAGCAAGGAATTTTCAGCATTTAGTACTATATTGGATCTAATTTACTCAAAACGACAAAGAAATAAACATTACATAATAATAATAACAAAACGTTTTTATAGCAGCTATGTAACAAATTACAGTATGCGATAAGGATAAAAATATGCATAAAGTATAAAATTATAGTAATAAAAGTAATAACTAAAATAAAATAGCAAAGTTATAATTAAACGTAAGAAAGGGTGACACCATAAAATTACAGAAAGATGAACGATGAAAGGGTCGATTTACTTTGCTAATTACATAGTAACTTTTATGTTTCACGTTTGACAGTGTCTTCATCACATAAAATACGGGCTAAATAGGGTATTGTAGAATTTTAGTGCTTAATGGTTCGAGCATATAACTTATATTGACTTCTCGTCCTACCTGATGAGATGCAAGGAGATAGTTGTGCGTCGAGCCCCACGCCGACGCACACCTGATATCTATGGTTGGCCTGGAAAATTTGGGCTACCGATATCCACGCTGAAAATTCCACACTTGTACCAAAAATACGGTGTGGAATCAAGCTGTAATCAAAAATAAATAAAAATGAATAAAGGGGGTGCAGGGGATATGACAGTACGGCCTTTGCCTATTTTGTACAGGAATGTATGTGTGTCTTAACTCTAATATTGGCAAGCTCACGGAGTGGCATACCACAAGCCCTACTCACAGCATTTAATACCCTTCGTAAAATGATATAGTCTTTTTTGAGAAGCTCAGGAAAGATTAATACAATCCTTAGTTCATCTTCAGTTACATATTTTGAGCATATAACTCTAACCCTTTGGCTGAGAGTCCTTACTAGATTTCTTTTGTACTGGAGAGGAACAAAGCTATGATATTGTGAATATTGTCTTGTCCATGTGCTTTTCCTATGCAAATTTCTCTTTATACTACCATCTCGTTTTTTTGTAAGGAGGACATCTAGGAAGGCAATTCTGTTTTGGGATTCCTCTTCGCACGTAAATTTCACGGTGGAATGTATTTCACTGAATTGAGTTATTATTGTGTTCCTATCCGGATCATTATCACAAAAAATAAAGGTGTCATCCATATAAAGGATCACGTTGTCCGAAGTTCTAGTGGGAAGTCACGATCAGTGGGGTCCACCAAGTTAGGTATAAGGAAAGATACTCACCCTTGGACTTGGCTAGTGGTAGCGCTATTTCGCCGATTGGTATAAGTAGGAATTCGGAAGTAGATTCCGTCTGAGTATGTCTGAATGGCATACGACTTCATCTTGTAATTTGACGGGTACAAACTTTTGAAGAGTCTCAAAAGAGGACGAAACCGTTGTGTAATACTCGCTGGTTTACACTTTTTCTTTAACTAAAGTGCTTAACTTCCCAAACAGTTCGTTGAGCAAAGTCACCTTATATAATGGAGAAGATGTGTCACTCAGGAGGAGAGAGAAGTGAATTTAGTGTTTCTGTTTGGCTGACATAGGATTGGAACGGAAAATATCTAAGAGAGATGGTCAAACCAGAAGTTGGCATCACTCCTTGAAGTCATTGACTCTGTTGGCTTAAGCCATGGAGAGAGAGTGGTAACTCGAACTGCTGCACATCTGTACAAAGTTCTACGCTGAGACCAGTCAGTCAGGATATTACCCATAGAAGTTAATAATGCAAATGCTAAAATATAATTATTCTTTTTATTATAATTAATGAATATTTACGCCTTTCTCTCTACGATAAATAGCATTTTATACATCTTGATTAAACTGTGATCGAATTCTTGTAGGTCAAGCAACCACACAACTAATCAGAATACAAACAGCCAATCAGTTTGAAATATTGATTTTAGTTATTTATTAATGATGGGCCATTGAGGCAAGTCCGAGTGGCTGAATGCTATACGAGCTTGTCTTGTAACCAGAAGCTCCTGGGTTCGAAACCCTGTAGATAGGTGGGCACGTACTACCGATGAATCCCAGACTAGGACGGAACAGCTGGCTATCCATTACTCCCTGTTACCTTTCAACGTTTCTCTAACTGATTTCAATCTTTGATCAAACTTTGAAAATAAATCAAATTCCTACAAATCAACTCTTGAAAAATAATGATTATTAACACATTATTATTAATTCATCGGAAATAAAAGTCTTTCGGTTTTTGTTTGTTTTAATCAGAACAATTATTGTGGGATTTCTGTTTTGTCAGTTCCTTTATTTGTTTTATCTTCCTAGGTATTTTTTTCTGTTTTTTTTTTAATAAATCCGATTCTGTTCAGTATCATATGATAAATGATAAAGCCATAAACGTCGATCAAGTTGTTCTTGTAGTGCTTCATCTTGTTCTTCTGAATTCCCTTCTACTCTCTGAGATAATTGTCTTTTTAACTGCGATGGTGTATTTGTATTACAGAATAGTAGACAACTTGTTTTCCACACATATGGACAAGTTGATATTGAGTGTACATCACCGAAACCCTTTAAAAAGTATAGAAGAAAAATAAAAACATTTATGGAAATTTGAAATGGTTAGTCTCATTTATAAATTTAGATATTTGTTATTAGAAAACGGAGATTATCTGAAGAAGTATGTGATTTATTTGCGCGATACATTTCGAATAATCTGACTATCATACATTTATTTGTTAAGTCATTTTATATATTAAAAATAAAAGCCAATTAAAGTACATAAAGTGGCAAAAAGGATTCAGAAATAATTAACCGTTGCCAGTTCATGATGAATTCCTGGAACCAATCAAATCCCTGCAAATCAATACTTGAATATCACTCTGATGCTTACTAGTGACTGGCCGTATTCAGGTAGGTAGTTACCTGAATTCTAGTGGAAAGTCATTACCAGTGGGGTAAAGCAGGTCAGGTGTGAGGGCATATACTTGCCATGGATGACAGTAGCTAGTGCCAGTCGCACCATATCATGAGTTGGCAGAAGTTGGAATTCATTGACTATACATTGGATCGTGACCCAGTGGGTTAATGGTCTGCGACCTAGCTTGCCTTGTAACCAAAAAGTCCTGGGTTCGAACCCCTGTCGTGGGTTCGTACTGATGAAGAATCCCGAACTAGACTGACGAAACAGCTGTTCTGTACTCCCAGCTCGTTTTCCAATGGTCCCCTGACAGATGCCAGTTCATGTTGAAATTCTGAAACCAATCAAATCCCTGCGAATCGTCACTTGAATTCACACAACGTTTGATGATCCAATCAGATAGGGGTTACCACAGTAGGTTAGGATTCAATGATTACAAGCCCGGTTGCATAACAGATTCTACGGATGACTGATCCTAATCTCTGTCTAAAAATCCTTTGTGTACCTCAATTAGCCTTTGATTTTCATATAAATGTGTGATCAGATTGTTCGAAATGTATTGTACAAACACATCAAATAATCTTTTACATAGTCTCCGTCGTCTAATAACACTATCCAAATTTATCAAAATGTATTTTTCAGGATTTCATCATGAGCTGACATTAGTTAGAGAACCATTGGAAAACCTGGGAGTACTGGACAGCTGTTTCGTCCTAGTTTGGGACTCTTCACCAGTACGCACCCACCGGGATTCCAACCCAGGACCTTCCGGTTACAAGGCGAGCTCGTATAACATTAAGCCACTGGGACCCGATCCAATGGCCAGTCCATGAATTCTAACTTCTGCCGATTCACGACATATCGCGACCGCTAGCCAATGTCTTCGGCGAGTATTTGTCCTCACACCCGACCCGCTGCACCCTACTGCTCACGACTTGATGTAAGTAGTTACCTGGGTTCCAGTGGGAAGTCGTGAGCAGCAGGGTGCAGCGGGTCGGGTGTGAGGACAAATACTCGCCGAGGACATTGGCTAGCGGTTGCGCTATATCGTGAATTGGCAGAAGTTAGAATTCATGGACTGGCCATTGGATCGGGTCCCAGTGGCTTAATGTTATACGAGCTCGCCTTGTAACCGGAAGGTCCTGGGTTGGAATCCCGGTGGGTGCGTACTGGTGAAGAGTCCCAAACTAGGACGAAACAGCTGTCCAGTACTCCCAGGTTTTCCAATGGTTCTCTAACTAATGTCAGCTCATGATGAAATCCTGAAACCAATCAAATCCCTACAAAGCAACGCTTGAAAATTTTTTTATCTACTAGATAAAATCGCAGTCTCTATCTTGACAGGATTATGACCAGATATACTGCGGATTTCGTGCGTTGATTTTTGGGCGTTATAGTAGTCTCCAATTATGCTTGTTTTCTGGCTTTCGATTCCCAGCCCGTACACACCTTTACTTCCATTAGCCGGTTGTGACCCTGTCAAAGAGGGAAGTTTGGTGAGTGTGAGGCTAGCAAACTCATCCAGTGAAACGATCACTGCTACCGAGATGTCAAAGCTGAGGCCTGAAGCCCTACGTTCCCCTCGGAACGCAAAAGGAATTTAATTAAATTAGAAAATTAACTGCGAATTTCAATGCTAATTCGCTACTGATCGCATGAAATAGCAAGTAGTCTGCTAATCGACGACTTCTGCTCTTCCAAATTTCAAAACCAAATATTCTTTCCTCTATTGAACAGGAGAGTGTGAGAAATAAATTCGTAGCCAGTGAAACTCATTGATTGGTGCGTCGGTGGCACAGCGGTTAAGACGCTCGCCGACCATGCACATGGTCCAGGGTTCGATCCCCGGCCGGCGCACACCTTTACCTCGCTAAGCCAGTAGTGAGACTGGTAAGGAGGAAAGGTTGGGCATGAGTCTAGCAACCCCATCCTGTAAAAAATCAACACTGCTACGGAATCTTCAAGCCTATAGCTTGGAGCCCTATGTTCCACTGGGAACGTGAAGGAAAAAAAAAGGAAACTAATTGATACATTTCGATTAATTTGATTTTTATCGTCACTAAACAGCTTTGTTTATTACAGAACTGTTTAAAATGAAAATGCACTAGACAGCTGCTTGTTTCAGATTCTTTGGCAGTTTCTTATTATTATGAAAAAAAGTAAGAGATGCTCTGCACAAAATACCATAGATTGTGTGAGGGATGGGATACTGACAGGACGCCTAGGAAAAGCAGGTGGTGGTCCTTAATGGGCCGATCCTCGAGCCTTTGTCTTGAAGTGTGATCCACAAAGATCAGTATTCCCATGGTTTCCCGTGACCAAAACACGTTCATATACCATTCAATCCTTTTGGATTCTGCAGCCTGTTTACACCATAGGTTTGGAATTAGAATCTTCTAGCTCTCCTAGGTAGACAAAAAAGTCGTCGACCGGTCATGTTTTAGCGTAAGACGTCCTTATTCTCCCTTTCATTATTATGAGAAACACTACCGCCGCGTGAAGGCAGTGAATAGGACTTACACCTGGCGTAGGCTATGAACACGTGACCATATGAGACCATTTCTAGAGGAAGACAAAAGTCTACTGCCCCTTGGCCTTACTAGGTCGTATATGAGACAAAATCAGCAGTGCACCTGCATGATTTCGTGATATGAACGAAATTTACCTTGAGATTTAAATAAATCAAATCTCAATAAAGTCAACTTTAGAAAATTATTTCACTTCACATTAGTGACTACGAGAGAAGCCACCTGTAGCTAATTTAGTTGCTTCAGTTCTAATTTGAGGATTGATATTGGATGTTGATGGCGGTTTATTGCACATATGAATATTTTTGCTCGCATCTATGTCCTTGACCAGGTTGTCTTCACTAACGCAAACTCCACTGGCCATAAACATATACATATATATCATCGCTTTCTTTGGTAAATATACTTATATGGATAGTGAAAAACATAATTCCCATCTCACGTCGTTATGTTTTCTCGCTTAGGTATAGCGGACTAGGGGAAAAAGATAACAGGTGTATAGTACTGTCGGTGTAGCCTAGTGATAATCGTTATCAACTCGTCTGTGTCTAGCATTGGCGTCCCTATTCTATTTCAATCTCCATGCGATTGAGAAGTATTAAAGTGGCAACATCACTAGTGGCTGTAACCTGAATTTGGCGCTTAGCATGAAAGATCAGGATTGCATTTCGGAAGCATCCCAAATTAGTTGTCCAGTGCTCCCTACCTAGTTTTTAATCTTTCTCCAGTTGAGTACAATTCTTAATAAAATCTACTTCGAAACCGGTCACATCTCTTAGAGGAATTAGTACTGTGCAGTACGGAACCACTTGTCACAGTATCGGTAATAATAAAGTAATGAGATAAAACGTACGGAATATAATTTGCCAACAGTATTCCTTATTCCTCGCAGTTAACACTTAAGATATACAAGTGATGTATTTAAGTCCTAGTATCATCGTGGAAAACTGGATGGGATGATTTAATTGTGAATGATATGTCAGTTATACATATCAGGAAGAAACGAGGAGATAACCTTGAGACATGCGCCACTCTTCACCGATTGATCATTAATACCATTATTACTATTTCCTCAGGTTCCGAGGAAAACATAGGGGGCTTGAGTGTCGAATCGCCATTTCACTGTCTTTTCTGCTCCAAGATTGCCCTTAGGCCTTCATTTCCTTCTCTTCGTATGATTTTCCCATGCTGCCGTCTGATGTCCGAGTGTTTCTCATTCTCATTCCACTCAGTGGCCTGGCGCGTTTTACCACTTAACGATCTCCTCAAGGTATATTCAATCCATTTCTTTCTGTATATTTTGTTAAGTGTTAAACTCTTGGTTAGTTCATTGCGTGCCGAAGTTCCCTACCGCTTATCATTTTTGACTAACCATCCAATCATCAGTACCATTGAGCAAAAAGTGACTGTCGATGAAAGTTTACAGCAGCCTGTCGGGAATGCCTTTGGTGATGCCTGCGTCAGGTCTGTGGACCATACAGAATAATAATATTAATAACAACTTTATTCTAAACAGTGTTTATATAATGTACAGAATTTTCAGCGGAGTTTATTGTATGATATTTTCTCTTAATCCACAATATTCAAATAAAGTAACTGACAGTAGATTGTGTGGCACAGTTTTGTCTGACCTGAAGCTCAAATTAATCCATTACGATATTTCTTCTTTGTTACCTTCGAAATATTTACAACATTTGGTTGAATGCCGACCGTAAAAGCTTCAGGAGTGCATTCTTTGAACCAAGTACGCAACTCAGGAACAGTACTGGGATAAGTTGCCATCCAGGATGATGTTTTTTCTTAAGTTTCTACTAAACTTGAGAATCAGCAGGTTGTAAGTGACGCTATTAGAGGTCATATTTTACCAGATTGAGAAAATTAAATAAGAGAAAATATATGCAGTATACTGATGGAGATTTCCAGTAGCCCAAGTTTTAAGCAAGACGCCGAGTGACAGGGGTTTGACATAAGTGTTGAAGATCAGGTCACTTAAGTTAGTACTAAATCCGGTCTCTTAGTGGGAACCGGTTAGATGCTCTTATAACTTATCTGTAGAGTAGATAATTCCTTTTTTGATCTTAACAAAACCCTTTCTAAGAAATAATATCGGGGTTGTAAAGGTGGCATTTCAAACATCATATGAATAAAGGTGATAAAGCTTTATTTCAGACAATATATGAACACATACTACACGAACTTTCAGTGTATTTAGTTCCAAAATACATTTCCTCTTCATACAGGGTTAACGTGTAAACTAAGTGTCCAAAAGTATATTATGTAACGTTATGCTGTTCCACATGAAGATAAAACCAATTGTGTAAATTTTTTCTTCACTTCCTCCAAGAATTGCACAGTGTTTCGTTGAAGGCTAACTAAATATATTTGCGAGCTCGTGTAGTGATCATATTATACAACTGCATGATTAAAACAATAAGGAAGTGAAGAAGAGTTCAGGCATTTCAATGTGTGGAAATTTGGTAGCTCAGTGATTCAAGCAGGTCGCCTTTGAAGAAGAGGAAGAAATTAAAGCCTTTTGCCAGTTGCGGCTCACACTGCAGGGAAGTGCAGTAGAGATGTGTTGCAAAATAATGAGTAACTTAACAATATATCATAGACGGTAATCTGTTAAATAGAATGTTTGGTGTAAGTCTTGTTTACATGCATACATGCATGACTGACAGAACCTTGATATTGCGTGACCACAGAGCCCATAGAACAACTGTTTGACGCCAGTGACACAATCTGTTTGGAGTAGTTCTTGGAGTTGTGTCCATATCAAAATCTCACCGCTGGCTACGAACTACCTCAGCATAAGTCGAAATGTAAACTTCTTTGAGTAGCCCTTTTTCTATCCCTCCCCTCCTCCAAAGCGAAGAGGCAGCATACCTGGCTTTCTGGTCATCTAAGCCGAAAACTTTACTGCTATTGCATCCCTTTTCGCCAGCAGTATAACTTCACTTTCAGACTCTTAACTCAGTGTAAACAAAATACACTATGACGGTAACTGCTTTTAGTTTAACCTCTATTCAGCTCACCTCTCGGACATGGTAAGACCTGCAGGGAAATTAGATTCAGTCAGTGTCGTTCGTGGCATCATTTCGATATGCAAGCCTGACCACTACGTCAAGGTAGCAGCCATTGGTCTAAAAATATATACATACATACTGTGAGAATAAAATAACAAGCATACAGGGTTAGACCCAGTAGACGATAGACATGTACACAAGAGTAACTAGCAGGTTATATGAAAACCATCTAATGGTTAGTTAGTTAATAGTCATATGTAGGAGGCTAAAGATAATATAACTTACCGTCTTCCAATAATTTTTGATTTCGTCAATTTTATTTTGTGTAGTAAAATCAATAATTTCCACTTTTGAATCGTCTCTGCCTTCAGTTGATCCAACAAGAGCGAATATTAATTTTTCTTAAAAATAAAAATAAATTGCAAAATCAATTTCATGCAAAAATCTCTCCTTATAAGTTTGCATCGGTGATCTATTGGCAGAATGCTCGTCACTCTGAACATTAAGAGGACATAAAAAAGGGACTCCATCAAGTCCTTTGAATATGTACCGAACAGATTCCGACTGAACGAGCTGAATTGTTTGAAGTCATCGATTACCAAACACCCGACAGACACAGGACACCGGATACACGCGTTGGGTGCATTCAAAATCACTAACAAATCACACAAACCAAGTCTTCTTTGGTCTCATGAGACCACTGGAACTGCTGAATCCTTACCTATGTATTCAAAAGTAATGTGACTCTGTACTTCAGTTGCCCTAGCAACTCTCTGTTTCCCGACCATATCACTTTGTTTTTCTCCCGCTTTTCCGTTTGATTTTTATTTTATTTTTTTCTTTGTTTTATTTCTTCACTTTCCCAGTAGAACACAGAGCTTCAAGCTAGGACTTCGAAGCTTCGGTGGCAGTGGTGTTTAATTTTACGTAATGGCACTGGTATCCTCATTCCCGACCTTCCCTCTTTACTAGTCTTATTTGCTAGCTTAGTGATGTAAAGGAGTGAGTCGGCTGGGGATCGAACCGCGAAACACATGTCTGATTGGTGAGCATTCTACCGATGGACGCCAGTTAAGTTCCATATGAAACCTAATTTCTGATCGCTTCAGTTCTACTCATCACTCCTCATTAGTCTCCTCCCAAATCTGATTTTAATTTTTTTGATCTAACGAGTTCTACTCACTAAAATTTGATTATGTTAGATTACTCAATTATTACTGACTTATCGAACTTGTTTTGGCGTTACCACTCCTAACAATAAAATTATCTGGTTACAGAATTTCACCATGAACTCACATTGGTTAGAGAACCACTGGAAAATCTGTGAGTATTGGACAATTGTTTCGTCAGCCTAGCTTGTGACTCTCCGGCAGTACTCACCCACCCCACTGCTAGGGTTCGAACCCATAACCTTCTGGATACAAGGCTAGCCAGCTAGTAGACCGGTGAGCCACTGAGAGCCGGTCCATAAATTCCAACTTCTACCAGTAGGATACAGCAGGTCAGGTGTGAGGATATATACCCGCCACCGATGACAGTAGCTACTGTCAGTCGCGCCATATCACGAATTGGCAGAAGTTGGAATTCATAGACTGGCCATTGGATCGAGTCTCAGTTGATTAATGGTCTACGAGCTAACTTGCCTTGTAACCAGAAGTTCATGGGTGCGGGTGGGTGTGAACTGCTGGAGAGTCCCGAGATAGACTGACGAAACAATTGTCCAGTATACCCAGATGGTTTTCCATTGGTCCTCTAGCCTATGTCAGTTCATGAAGAAATCCTGAAACTTGACATTATTGTTAAAAATTCTGATCTTCTTCCTTTTGCTGAGTCATGTGTCTCTACATCCACTTCACAATAGTGAACTCCGGTCCTGCCTTTTCTATCCCATCCCAGCTGGTTCTGACATCCCTATCCACTCCACCAATTTTACTTAAGTGGAAGGGATGATTTCTTTCAGATTTCTTCAACCTATGATGGTTAGTATCTGTTGCTGTTGTTGTTGATCAGGTGTTTTAATCACCTATATTTTAACATTAGCGTCGGTGGCACAGCGATTAGGACGCTCGCCGACCATGCATATGGTCCGGGGTTCGATCCCCAGCCGACGCACTCCTTTACCTCGCTAAACCAGAAATAATGCTGGCAAAGAGGAAAGGTTGGGCACGAGGCTAACAACCCCATCCTGTAAAAACAATCACCACTGCCACAGAAACTTCAAGCCACTAACTTGAAGCTCTATATTCCACTGGGAACGCGAAGGAAAAAAATTTTAACATTAAGTAGTACACACCAAATAATGTGAAATATTTCATGCTCCAGTCAAATTTATCTGTTATTATTACTACTACTTATTATCATAGTTATTACTAATAATACTACTACTGTATAATGGAAGTGAACTCTCTAATTCAGCTTCGTCGGCTTTGAATAGCGTCGACAGTAAAGCAATTTTGAATTCACCGCAAACTTTATCAACTTCATTTAACTGCTATATGATGATAATGTGGCAAGTGCTACTGATAAGATTTATCGGCATTATGTGAAGAGACATTCATGGGCATAAAAACAGGAAGGAGACGCATTTGATTTCAGAGAAGGCAAATAATGCAGTGTTTTGGAGATACATGGGAGATGTGAAAGGAACAAAAAGAAACTCAATATGAATTCTAGAAGTATCATAACACGAAGATCTGTACAGATGGTGCGTTGAAGATTAGGTATACATAATTCGGCTATCTAGAGATACCAATTGCATCATCTACCGTTTCACTGCTGCGTGTCGACTGGCTGCTCACAACGGACAGCTCAGCAAAGACTTCGAAGTCAAGATAGGAGTAAGCCAAGTCTGTATACTGTCACTGATGATATTCCTGCTTGTGATGTACTGGTTCACTTGTCAGACCGTGAAGAGCGATAAGACTGAAATATGTTGGACTGACAAGGAGAATATGGAAGATTCAGATTTTATGAACGATTTCTGTCTAATATTACACACACTCGAAGACGTACATGCGAAAATCAACAAGTTGGCGGAAGAAGCAGCGAAGATAAGACTCAAATTGAACATGGAGAAAACAGAGGTGATTAAGACACTCAATGACCAACAAGAGGCATCAGTGATCATGAACAGGAAGAATGTGAAGGAGGTCACCACTTTCACTTACTTAGGCGACATCGCTTCAACTACATGCGGTGGTACAGATGAATATACCAAAACAAACCAGAATGGGAAAGGCAAGACAGCTCTTCTATACCCTGAAATCAGTTTGGTGCTCTGAAGTATTTAGCACAAGAAGCAATATCCGAACTTTTAATGTCAAGTCAGTGCTTCTAAATGTATCACATACTTAACACATGCGTCATTGTAAGCCTGCTGTAGACTCTGATTTACAGCAACTCTACTCTGTTGTACCGACCAAAAAGCATAAGAAATAATGAACTCTGGCAGGCCAAGAACTTATTGCTTAACAAATATACAGAAGAAATTAGGCATAGATGGGATTACATTGTGGAGATCACTAAGTGACATCTTACTCCAGGCCGTCGAGTGGAGCGCAAGTGAGAAATGACGAGTTTGATGTGGGTCAGAAGGTGACAAGAAAATCATGTACTGACGAATGAAAGCTTATGGACAATCGTGGAGCCAGCTTAAAAATACTTCAGTGAACATTGCGAAGTGGTGGTGTGTTCCTGAAGTCCTATTTCTCATTAGGAGACAATAATAATAATAATAATTATCTTACGTATTGGTTCAATTGTAACACCATAAATAGGTCTTGATTCTGATTGAATATATTCAAATAAATATTTTCCAGTGTCTTCATTATTATCGGAATATAAACCAGCTTTATAACAGACAACACGTGCATTAATTCTGTCTGCTACGCATAGTGTATCTTCATTTTCAAACAATGCTAATTGATGTGGTAGGTTAAGTTCATTTGGTCCAGGATGTGTTCGATCTATATGATGAAAGCATGAAAAACCAAAATTAATAGGTAAATATTGATCAATCATAAAAATAATGTGAACACCTAAGAGAACAATCAATCATCTATGGCACTGGATGGTATATATATATATATATGCGTGTGTGATCAGACTGTTCGATCTCCGCGGGGTCATAAGTGCTTACTGCTGAATAGTCTTAAACAAAGTAGTCTGAAAATCAAAATAACTGATTCAGAGAAGAGACTTTTCAACGAATTTATTATCGAGCTGTACACTCGTATATATGTGGATCTTTTGAGAAATTATATCCGGTGATAATAGTGTTAAATATAATTAAAATGTTTTGGATTTGAATCATAGTTCAGTGTGAAGTGGCGAAACAATTATTTTCATATTCAGAACAATTCATAGGACACATACAACCTGGAAGGGTTGTGAAATTATAGGATTAGTAGGCAAATAGAATAAAAATAAAGACGTTACAGGATTGATGTAGAATGATAAGTGGAATAATTTTTCAGTTGCATTTCTTACTATTATTATCTTATGTATTCACATCTGTGATTCGATTCTTTCACCGGATATAATTTCTTAAATAATAATAATAGTTTACTTTATACCAAAACAGTACAGGGTGGAATTTTCGGCATTCGGTACAACATTGCATCTAATTTTATCAAATAACACTAAAAACAATTGCAAAGATAATATTACAGGATTGTTAATGGCAGTTATTATTTGTTATTAGTAGTGACATTAATCTCATAAACATACAAAAAATTGTAAAATAATAATACAGTTAGTAGCTAAAATTGTCAGTTAACCGAGGTAGTGTCACCATAGATTACAAATAGGAGATTATTAAAGGGCCAATTATTTAGCTAACACCATAGTAATTCATAAGTTTTACATTGTCTTTGTCGCATAGAACACTGGTCAAATATGATATCATTGAGTTCCTATACTAGCTACTATGCTAGTTCGAGCGTATAGTCTTTTGCACTGACTTCTAGTTCGACCAGAGGAGATACAAAGCGGGGGAATTTGAGAATAGAGAGGGTGGTGAGGGTCAGACAGTATAGATTTAAAACATTTCTTGCATGAGTTTAGATGTCTGTCAACTAATGTATTTACAAGGTGACGAAGTTTCACACCAATTGCCCTACTGACAACCTTTAATACCCTTCTCAAAATTACAAAGTCCTTTTTCAGTATACCAGGAAAGACTAAGAGCAGTAAATTACAATAGTTAAGGTGCACGAGTTAACAAATTATAAAAGTGGAGGTTGAGTGGTTCCAGATTGTTTTACCTTCATAATGTAGTTGCTTAGAGGGTAGATTTTCTTGGAGGTCAATAAAATATGGGATGACTAAGTAAGGTCAGGGAATAGAACTACACCAAGGTGTTTTGTGTTAGACCTAGTTTCTATTACAGTCTGCTCTATGCTACAATCATTGTGTGTTTTAACCAGTCGTTGTAGATCACTTTTATGTCTAAAGGAGACGTAAATAGTCCGCCATTTTGAGGGATTTAACGTAAGACCATTTAGCTTAAACTACTGACTAATGTCCTACAAAAACTAATTAAGTTCGCAACAGTCTGACTGGGACTTGACAGGAAACAAAACAGTTAGATCGCCAGCTTATTTGACTAAATTGATTTCGTTAGAAAGAGGTAAGTGATGTAAGAAGAAAGAAGAAAGAAAAGGAGTGAAAACAGTACCCTGAGGAACATCAGCTTCAGTAAGCAAGGCAAGAGAAGATTCACCCTTATACATAGTATACTGCATTCTATTTAAGAAATATGAATGCAATCAGTTAACAGCCAGGGATTCGGTTTGCGTGTATATATATATATATATATATATATATATATATATATATATATATATATATATATGATTGTACAGCTTGATAATAAATTTGCTGAAAATAGTCTCTTCGGTGAATCACTTGTTTCGATTTTCTCTATGTTCCAATGGAAACTGTCCATGGATTAAAAATTAAGCTGAAACAACTGTTCAGTACTCCTTGGTAGTTGTCAATAATCTGTCTAACTGATTTTCGTTAGTGCTGAAAATCCGATGATTAGAATTAATCAAAATTTTGTAATCTAAGTGTTTGTAATGCGTTGAGTAAATGCATTATATGATTCAGATAAATTATGTTTCCTTATTTGTCGAAATTTTCATAGATCGTTTTCAGAGATGGAAAGAGAGAGAAATGTTGTTGTTCAGCTTAAATGATGTTTTGATGTTTTTAATCCGTAGGTGAAATGTTTATCACTCACTGCCTAACGTTCACAAATGACATCAGAGTAATTTGATTTATATCTTTATCTAAATGTTTATTTGTAAGTGAACATTCTGGGAAATCTCAAAATCTGCAGTTACTTACATTGATAGTTATTGTGTATATTCACTCGTCGTATTAAATTCACTATGAAACAGTGAGATGTCGTGACCACTGGGGTAGAGCAGGTCGGGTGTGAGGACAAATACTCGCCACCGATGACAGTATGGGCCAGTCGCGCCATATCATGAATTGGCAGAAGTTGGAATCCATGGACTGGCCATTGAATCAAGTCCCAGTAGCTTAATGGTCTACAAACTGGCCCGCCTTGTAACCGGAAGATCCTGGGTTAATACCCTGGTAGTCGAGTGGGTGCGCACTGCCGAATAGCCCCAAGCTAGATTGACGAAACAGCTGTCCAGTACTCCCAGTTGGTTTTCCAATGGTCCTGTAATCGATGTCATCTGACGTTTTTTTGAACAAGAATATTTGTTAAGAAGGTGAGGCACTGAGGTACAACAAAGAACGTTGTTCGAATTACCTTCGACTGGCGGCTTCAGAGAACTTCAATGATTGTATCTCCTTTGAATTTCAGATTTGTAATTAGTTAATTCTTGGTTACACCCAGATTTCGCAGAGTATCCATTTTTCTGCCCAAACCTTTATTGATGAGAACGGCTGGATATACATTTCTGATCAGAGTACTTACCGATTGTCTAATGTCAATTAACATTGTGTATATAAACCCTTAAATAACTGTACAGCTTTGGAGTGAAGTCGCGAAAAGAGATCTCTTTGCTAACCTATGTGCTCTTAAATACATGACACGAGAATTTTCTACCTCATCCCTTTAGCTACAGATCTGAAGGTGTATATATTAATCTTCTTGAAATCCTCTTACTAGCCAGTTATTATAATGCTCACTTACGACTTCCAGTCTGATCTACAAATAAATCTCTGACTAGTTAAAGAAGTACATTGAATTTTTTTGAAATACTGATTAGTTGACAAAGAATATTCGTTTTGATAATTTCTTCATCAGATTCTTCAGTTTTCTCTCATAATAATTCTTCTGTACGTGCTAACAAGAAGAAGAATTCAGTTTGAGGCAGCAAGCTAAACAATAACCAACAAGTTGATAAGGTTGATTCGAAGGACTTATAACGCCGGTAAGCTGAGACTCACATCTTCCACATAGTTGGTTATGATTCAGAAACTGAAAGACAAGGTATCTGTTACAGCCACCACTGTTCGTATCTATCAGTTCAGCTGTTTATATGCAACCAGATTATATCGGTCGTCTCTCTAGGAACGTGATTTTTCGTGATGAGTAGCACCTGCTAGTGTGTCCAATTGGATGTGTGGTTAAAATCATCATATTAAATAACTCTCTTGAAACACATCCCAAAGCCATTGAAGACTTTTTCTCTATCATGTATGTGTGTCGGTGTAACAGCGGTTATGACGCTCACCGATCATGCACATGATCTGAGTTTCGATCCCCTGCCGACGCACACCTGATATCTATGGTTGGCCTGCAAAATTTGGGCTACCGATATCACATGCTGAAAATTCCATACCTGTACCAAAAATACGGTGTGGAATCAGGCTGTAATAAAAAAAAATACTGAACGAGTTGCTTATCATTGTGTATAAACTATTGAAATATAATTATACTTTATTTAAGTTTCTTAAGGCCTTCAAACAGAAGAGGCAACTGTAATGCACTCAAAACAACAGGAATTCTGTGTACAAAAGTAATAGGTCCAACTACAATAATTACTGAATTATTATGGATGTATAACTGTAGAACCTGATAAGGAAGAAGTTATCAATAAGAATACTCACAATTAGTGCTTTAAAACTATTGAATATTTTCTTTACTACTTAATATTTCTAAAAGTAGACTATATTTGTAATGAAAAAGTGAACAGGGCTCGTTTTCCATGGATTTATAATTACACGGATGATTGAAAGTGTTCAAAGTGAAACTCGAAATTTCATACAGTAAAGCGTTATGCATCAAGTCACCAGTTCGCGATTGGAGCTGGATTCAATTTTTAGTGAGAACGCTATCAATTAACAGGGATGCAGAGACTTCCGGCAGCAACTATCAGTAATAATTTCAACATGTCATCAAGTTAGTAATAAAACGAAATATTTAAAGACGAGGATGAAAAATAACAATAACACTGATTAGGCAAAAACTTACTTATAGTTTCATGACCCCATGATTTTAAAAGTTGCCCAGATCCATCGAATTTCATGATACGACTATTGCAATACCTGATAAAAATAATCCGACAAATACACTGAAGTAAAATAGCTTTGAATTTTCATAAGCTGCAGTATTGTTTTTCAAGTGTCGGTCCGCAAGGACTTGATTGACTACACGTTCGAGCACTAAGTGACATCGGTTAGAGTTGGGAAGTGCTGGACTTCTGTTTTGTACTAGTTTTTGGGGCTTTTCAGATGTATGCACTGACCAGGTTTAGAACTAGAACAGAACTGTAGAAGACGGTCACCGTTGTCGGTCCGTCGGGAAGGAATTACGTACGTACGTATGCGTACCTATATACTTTTCAGTCTGGCCTAACTTCCTTACTTGAGCATTAAAACCGCCTTCTAAAACATCTATATCTGAGCATTCTGCTTTTTGTAGCAAACTAGAAAGCTTTGGTAAAAGTCATCCTTTAGTTCATCAGAACTACAGTCTGTTGGAGGGTAAGCAGAGACTATGAAAAGACAACGACGGATAACGCCATCCTTCCTTCTTCTAACGGAATCGTTCGCACGGACCTCACACATACGACTATCTACTGGGACCCAGTCAAGAAATGATTTTTCGGCCGTAACACTCAATGCTATCCCTATACCTGCCGATCCTCGCAAACAAGCTGAGAAGTCTCCTGACACCCTATTGGTGAATTTTGCAGATTCATTTTGTTAGCCGGGTGGGGTTAAATAAATAACAACATTATGGCATAACCACGTACTCGTGGAAGAATAAGGTGAGCAATAGTGACGTTAGGCATCAGTCGAGTGCTAGGTAAAGAGGGGAGGTCAATCGACGAGGTTGTGAAGTTACATCGATTGGGATGGTTAGGACATGTGCAACGCATACCTGACCTAGCCACTGGCTTCCTCGACAATGGTCAATGTTAGCTGATATAGGATCAGGTTGGAAAAGAGTTAGCAAGTGGTGGTCAAACCAAAACATGGCTTCATCAGTCAATGAAATAAATCCACAGTATTCTGTTTAGGGGTGTGTAGACTACTGTAAGGTTGGGGTCTTCGGGATGGTAAATACCAATGGTTGGAGACAATCGGTGATGTGGCTCAAAATCGTCCTCAATGATGGCTCAGATGCATTCACTCTTTGTGATTTATAATATCCGGTGTAATTCTATTGTTCCTCCATATTAGTATTCTTTTTGTTTCATATTTCTGTTTGTTATCTCTCTCTCTCTATCTGTCTCTGGAATCTCTCTTTACTCTCTTCTCTTGTTTTGTGCACTAAATAGAGTGTGGTGACTCAAACTGCTGCACATCTATGCAAAAGTTCTACGTTGAAACCAGTCAGTCAGGATTTCGAACCCAGGACTTTAAGACTACAAGCTTGGCCACCCCTCCTCTGAGAAGAACTGAAGTGAGATAGCTATACTCCATAACCACTAATTTCTGCATATCTTCTCTTCTGATTGACTGTAAACTGCTTCACAGTTTTACTAGGTTATTTATAAACACATACTTCTAGCATATTTTTTAAAATGACGGAACACTATTTTTACACAAATCTTTTCTACGTGAGTAATTTTCAGTGTTCCTTTTACTCCTCTACTGCCGAAATCACGTTGTGATTTCATAATTGTAACACAGGGTAACGATTTATAAACATTCGTATTAAAATATATATTTGTGTGATTATTGGGCTATATTTAGATCAATAAGCTGATGGACTAATTACTAGTTCATTAATGTATAAGTGTAGATCTCGGACACTGTGGCAGACTGTAATTCCATATTAGTTAAGTTTATATTAAATATCATACTGGATGACGTTTCGAGCATAAATGATTGCCCATAATCATATGAGTTCAGTCACACGGTTTCACAGTTATCTTTATATATATATATATCCTCTTTCTGTCTCTTCAAATTCCCTCTGTTGTTTGCCATTCTGTTGCTACTTTCCGTATCTCCGGTAAAGGCGTTGCATCATTCCGCCTGCACGTGTGTGGTATTGAATCGATAAACAAAGCTTCAGTCAGTGATGAACCTTTCTCCACTTAACTGTATTACTTTTTAATACTCTCATTCTGTCTTTCCCACCCTATTTTGTGATTACATGCAGGTGAATACAGTGTAGGGACTGAGCTTTTTTCGAGGTTATTTAACTAACTTAGCAGGGTCAGTTATTCTGGGTCTAGTTAGATTTTTATATTTCAACAATCTAACTGATGCCAATCTACTTGTTTGATCTATTTAATTGACCTCAGTAACAGTGATTACATGGTATTTGGTAAAGTATATTACTTTTCCTGATTAGATCTATTGGGTCCTTAAGCCGAAAAAGTTTATTTCTGAGAGAATTTGGTTGGTTGGTTTACATGCCACAACAATTCCAGTTTCATTGATAATCCTACGTAAGGTCTCTGAAGTTCCTTCTTTATACGGCAGTACTGTAGAGACTTTGAATTACTAGTTCATTCAAAATATTTCACTGAATGATAAAGATTTTGATGTAGTTGTAATCTTTGAGCTGGATGGTTTAACTGCAAAGCTTTAATGGTCTTACTAGACAGCACCCTCAATGCATACTTCACAAAATGAACCTGAACCATCCATCTCAGAGAACATAATTTCATCAAAATCATCCACCTGAGCTACAAATCTTCTGCAGTATGTCTAAGTGATTAGCATATCAGTCATAATTTTTTAAGATGTATATGATTATTTAATCAGTTGAATGGTTTAATTTGGCGTCATCAGTTCACAAATTCGATTCATCTTTATATTCATACGATGAACACTGTTACTTATTGCTCGACATCCCATCTCTAATGAACTAAATGGATACATAAAAATTCTTTGAATCTCAGTTATTTCTATACATCTGGCTAATGAGTCACAATAGGAATGAAAGCTGTGTCCAAAGTCTTCTAATTACTACCTTATGTGGTTCACATTTTCAGCAAGGAGCATCAGTATTTACAACAGGCTACTGCACACTTCTATCAACAGCTGTGTTATCAAAATGACACTAAAGCTTAGATGGCCAGAAAGCAGCAACAACGAGCTCTTGCAGGCAGCAAAAACCACCCTGTGTTGAGGAGACATTGTATTCACATCATATTCAAGGTCCTGTAGTGGAACACGAATGAAAAGAGATCAGCTAGACATGTTTCCGAAAGTAACATGGAGAAGATCAGGTGAGTAGGAGGATTGAATAAAAGCTTATAGAATGTTGTGCAGCTAGTTGACAGATGAAGATGTCAAAGCCAGCCAGAATCGGAGAGTCAAGATACACCCTCATCAACCTGAAACCAGTTTAAAAATCTTCTGCACTCTGCAGCATAAACAACAAGATTCGAATTTTTAAATTCCATTGTGGGTAAAATTTATTCTGATCGAGTCTCACAGTGTTATGCAGCAATCATATCAAGTTGATATGATTATGAGCAATAAATTGTACTCGAAACTTCATCAGTAAACATAACTGTATAACACTCTGAGACTTTGTTAAAATAAATTTTACCCACAACCGAATTATACTCTACCACAATGCATAAGGTTTATACTTATTTCAACACAAATTTGAAGTCATTTATTTCTTCCTTATGGGTCAGAAACTTGTACTGCGCGTCACGAAAAGCATTTCCAATAAGTTACAAACTTTTGTCAACAGCTGCCTTCGTTGGCTGCATACTGACGATCAAATGGCCAGAAAAAATTAGTAACAAGGATCTCTGGCAACGGACCAACCAAGAGACGATTGCTTAGCAAATATGTAGGAGAAAATGGAGATGGGTCGGGCATATACCACTCAGGCGGTTGTCGAATGACATTGCGCCATCACTCGAGTGGAATCCCAGTAGGAAGGGACGAGTGAGTAATCCGAGGTTGACATGGAGGAGATTGTGAGAGGAGGAGACGCGAGATTGTGAGCGATCATGGACCCAGTTGAAGAGGATCTCACCAAATAGAAAAAGTGGAAATGTTTTGTTGAAGCCTTATGTTCCATTTGGAACCCAAGAGAATAGTAATAACAGCTTAGAAGGGAGTGAAAGAGAGGTGTCCTTCTGAGTCCCCATCTTCCACTCAGAATACTAGTAAACAATAATAACAAATAATCCAACACTAAGTAAGGAAACGTGAGAAAACTTCTTTCTTATAAATTACCCATCAGAAATAAATACTTGACCATTGGTACTGACAACAACATCAGTTGGTTTACAAAACTGATTTTCACCAGACCCAGGTTTGAATCGTTCTCCTAACACTAATAATGGTTTGCTTGATAAGTGTGGAGAGAACTTGAAAACCTGCGAAAAAACAAACAAATAAATGAAAAACTAAATTCGACTGGAAATACCATCGAAAATTCAAAGGAGAGACTTTGAACAATTTTTCTCACAACGGCGAGCGGAGCAACAGTAGAAATGACATAAAAAAAAATTGAGCCTAGAATCACAAGCTTACAATAAAAGTCTTGTAGCCATTGAGTCAAGAACATACCATTATAGGGATTCATGCCACACTCATTAGTAGCGAATGCTGTTTGAAATTATAATTATCAAAGCATTAAATATGATACTTTTGGTGATGAGCACTGAGTGTAACATGACAGAATGAAGAATACAGATCTAAGAGTGACCTTCACGCTTACATAACAATGTAGCTATAACAGATACATCAAGGATTATTGGTTGCTGATACAGCATTTTATGTTTGGCTGAGCCGAAAAAGTTTTCATTCTTTGTTCCACTGATCATTTTTCATTATGGATTTCGTTATGAACAGAAATTAGTGAGAAAGCTACTGAAAACCGGGGAGCACTGACTGTCTGTTTTGACCTGGTCTGTGACCCGGAAATTCGAATTGATGGGCTATTGGATTGCATCCCAGTAACTGCATGGTCAACGAATTCGCCTGGTAACCTGAAACTGGTGTGTGCGATCCATGGTGGGTGAGATAATGGCTGCGTGTTACTAAAAGGTCCCCAATTAGGAGAAAACAGCCATCTAGTACTCCTTGAGGGCTTTAACAGTTTCCTAACTGATATCAATTCATGATCAAACTAGAAACTAATCAAATCTTTGCAAACTACCACATAAAAATGAGAATGTATTCAGTTCATTCCAAAACAATGTTTATTGTTTTTAAGATTTCATCATGAACTGACATCGGTCAGAGGACTATTGGAAAACATCTGACCGATATAAATGCATGATGGATTCCTGAAACCAATCAAATCCCTACCAACCAACACTTGAAAATGTGTCTGAAGCTCACTAGTGACTAGTTGTATTCACGTAGGTAGTTACCTGGATTCTAGTGGGATGTCGTAACCATTGGGTTGCAGCAGGTAGGGTGTGAGTACATATACTGGCCATGAATGAGATTCTCTAGTACCAGTCGTGCCATATCATGAATTTTTAGAAGTTGGAATTCATGGACTGGCCATTGGATCGGGTCCCAGTGTCTTTGTAACAGTATAAAGCAAGACACAGAAGTAAAAGTACATTTTCCAGTGATATATATTCTTTAACCAATCACTAAGCGTGTGACTTTGGTTTACATTAAACAACATGAAATAGAATGTTCAGACATACATAGTATTCTGTTGCTAATGCAGTTCTGAACTGTGGGAATATATGAGAATAATATTCCGTTGGAACTTATTGTCTGTATCACACCAGCACAGATAAATGGTCTACAAGCTGGCTTGCCTTGTAACCAGAAGGTCATGGGTGCGAACTTTGTGATGGGTGCGTACTGATGAAGAGTCACAAGCTAGGCTGACGAAACAGCCGTCCAGTACTTCTTGTTTGTTTTCCAATGGTCCTCTAGGCAATGTCAGTTCATGGTGAAATCCTGGAACTAATCACATTCCCGCAGACCAACACTTCAATGTTCATTGTTCTCGATTTACAAAAACAAAAGTACTTATGATGGAAACTAATTCCACAAGATTAAAAATAATTATAACAATATTATTTTGCACACAAAAGCTTACCTGATGTAAAGCAACATCTGTTATCCAAAAGTTTCCATCAGGATCTATTGTCAGTCCATGTGGAAGATAAAATCTATGATAGTAGATGACAGTAGCAGGGAAATATAAAGAAAGTGAATAGAGGAAAGGAAATAAATTTCTCAAAATTTAAATAGGATAACCCTCACAGATTAGTAATGAATAATAATAAGAGCTGTGAAGTGGTTCCGCATCAACACAATGGACACATCAATAAATAAACACTTTAAATTGATCACAGAACTAACTGCAGCATCTCTGTATTTATCACAATCAGTGTGTCATTTTCTGACCACTTACAAAAGTAGTGATTGCGGATAATTTAAAACAGTTCATGGGTATTATTGTGTTTCCAACTCCGGAACGAGTGATTCCTGATTTTTAGTGATCGCTTACTGGCGTCGTTTTAATGATGAAATCCAAAATTGAAATTAATCGAAGTCCCTACAAAACCTAAATATCAATCTACAACCCATTGGTGGTGGTAGCTTCTGGAAGCATGTCTTGAAACCGAACTGAGAAGTTCTGACCAGTGCGGTTTATCAGGCCAAAGTGAAGTGGATGATCACTGAAGGGAATAGGCCTAACAGAGGTTATAATTCATGGGTCACTGAATTCCAGGTCCAGATGGCTGAATGTTCAACAATAATGGCCTCATAACCTAAAGTTCTCCGGTTCAATTTCAAGTGGGGTCGCATGTGCGCATGCACTGCTGAGGAGTTCCAAACTAGGATGAAATACGTACCTAGTACCACATGATTTCTGATAATGTCTTAGTGATGTAGAATCGTCAGAAATCTGCATTTAAATTCATTCAGATCCCGACAAAAACCAGTCATCTAGATATAGGCATATATACTTTAGTTCCTAGAAATTCAGTTAATTTCAATGTAGATTTCAATATCAGTTGAAGAATCACTGAAAGCCAATTAGCGCACTGGATAGCTGTTTCATCGAAGTTCAAGACTATTCATCACTGTGTATACTTTTATCAGCTCTCTTTCAGGTATAGAATTAAAATCTACGTCGACTGAGTATTTGAACCAACTATTTTATGATTCTTAGACCAGCAGTAAATCATTTTAATGCAACCATCATCAGTAGTTAGACGGTTTAATGGTAGAATGCTCGGCAACCACACAATATGTCTTGGCCAGTACAATTCCCGGTAAGCGAAAGGGTTTGATCTATGTGACGCTAACAACCCAACCCCGCCACAAAATAATAATAACACCACTAATGAAAACATCAATGCTTAGGCTTAAAGCCCTGTTTTCCAAACTAGGAACTCAAAAGAATGAAAAATAAATCAACGATGGGTATATCATTATTTGTGTCTAGCAAAAGATTCAGAGTGGTTATAAATGGTGGGTTATTTAACACAAGTTTAAGTGATAGGAATGCATTACACTTGTAGATTACAATGAATTAATGAAGTAATTGGTACCTGGGTATTGTAGTACAGTTGGTAGACCGCTGCTCTAGACAACAGGTGATCGCTAACGATGTGAATCCTGCGCTGACCTATACTTTCATTTCATTTTCAATCAGTGTCTGTTAGATTAGCGGTAGTCAGACAGACACAAAATCAGTACACTTTAATTCATGTTTTAAGGTCCTTCATTGTTAAGATTATTATTACTATTATTTCCTAACTTTCCGAGTGAAACATATGGCTCCAGCAAAATATTTCTATCACATCTTGTTCTCTGCAGTCGTCCTTAGCTTGCTCCCCGATTTCCCATAGCTATCAATTCCTCCCAAACTGATCTCCTCCATGTCACTCTCGGACCCACACTTAAACTCGCAGTTTCCCATTCGAGTGCTTAGCGTGAGGTGTGTCACTCAACGGTCGTCTCTTTGTGTGTCTGATCCAAATCCATTTTCTTCTGTATATTTATTTGGCTATAAGTTGTTAGTTGATTTGTTACGTGAGTTCCCCTGTTGGCAAAAGTCGGCAACCTGTTGGAAATGCTTTCGGTAACGCGACAAGTCTCTAAACTATATAGAAGCACTGATTTCACATTAGTGCTGAAAATTTGAATCTTGTTCTGCATGCTTGTTGCAGTAGATTTCCCCATTTATTTCAAAGTGATGAAGGTCTCTCTCGCCTTTTCGATGCTGGCTGGCTTTGACGTCTTCATCAGTGGTGTATATAGCTGAAAAGATTCTGAAGTGAAGGCGGTGACTTCTCTGAAATGTCACCCTTTGATTGTGATAATGCTATTTCATTATTCACAATAAAATAATGGTAAAGCATAGAAACTAAATACTTACTTTTCAGGCAAATATGTTTCTCTTATCTCTCCATCGAGTATACGTACTAAAACCCCATCTTTGATTGGTTCAGATTTATTTAGACGATAGTTATTCTGTTGATCAAATGTGCTTTAAAGAAAAATACAAAATAAATTGAAATTGAACAAGAAAAGCAAAGACTGTATTCATCATTTAGATCCTAGAAGAAAGTTACATAATTAAATCATTTAGAGAAAACATTGCATTTTCCTGCAAGTCAAATGAAGTGTGAAAATGCGATACGCACCAATTATTATATGTCAGTGTTAAATGGCCCGACCCAACCAATCACGAGGTGAGTTATAGATGGAAAGATAAAAATGATCTTGACGCATGAATAAAGGTGAGAGCTAATTGGTTGAAAACGAAACGGATAGATGACTGTGAATTAATTTTCAAGAGTCACTTCGCTAGGATTTGATTTGTTTCAAGTTTGATCATGAATTTATGTCATTTGGAGAACCACTGAAAGAGGTGGAGTATCAGAGGGATGTTTCGCCCTAGTTTGACACTCTTCATAGTGCGCACTTATAACCATGTCGGAGATCGACCGTAGGATTTTTAGGTTACGTGGTGAGCTCGTTGAACATTCAGCCACCTGGATCGGAATCCAATGACCCAGTTCTATCTAATGACCTACTACATAACTAAGTTGCCTGGACTTCTGCTGAGAAATTACGATCACTGTAGTTCACTAGGTCAAGGGTGAGGACAAATACTCGCCGATGACACTGGCTGGCGGTTGCGCTAAAACCGTGACTTGACCGAAATCACTGGTTACTAGATTCTGGCCCAAGTAGCTGAATGATCGACAAGCTAGTGTTTTTAGCTGAAGGTTTTGGGTTCGACCGACGGTGGGTTGGATCGTGGGTGCGCAATACTGAAGTGCCCCAAACAAGGGCTAAATAGCTGTCGAATACCGTCTGGTATTCAACAGTTATTTAACTGAAGTCAGTTAGTGATCAAACTTGAGATGGTAGAACTGGATAACAAAACGTTAATAAGAGTCTAAATAAACTGCCTCTAGGAGTCTCATTCGGATAAATTCTAATCAGTTTTCACAAAACGTAACAATCTTACGTTACGAAATATTTTCTTCCGACGTTTTGCTAAGATTTATCCGGTTTCCATGCTTCACTTTTTTCAACCTACTTCAGTGTGGAAAAATAATTTCATTCAAGCTGTCATTCGTGAAGTATGGCCAAAGGACAATAACATCAAACTGCTCGATTAAGATTTCTGCTACTAGTAGGAATTTTTTAAATGGTGCACACTAAGATATCTTTGGTGAAATTCAGATGAACAAAGAAGTTACTAACGTAGGTACAAATCAAAGAAATGTCTAGCAGGCCTTGGCCTTCGATGGTTGTTTAAGTGAAGTCAGTTTGTGACCTAACTTGGAATGAATAAAATCTCTGTAAACTAACACTTAAAACCTAATCTCATGTTCATCAGTGACTGACTGTAGAATGAAGCTGTCTGGACTGGATTACATCAAATCGGTGGAACGGTCAATGGTCTCACCTTGTAACCTAAAGCTCTTGGATCTGATCTCCGGCTGGGTCATGGACACAGACTGATGAAGAGTTCCAAACTAGAAAAAGAAACAGTATTGTCTAGTACTCCCCATCGGTTTTTCTTGGTTCTCTAAGAGATGTATTAGTTCCTGATCTAACTTAGAATCAAACAAATAAATGTAAACCAACATCTGAAGACGGATGGATACGTTAAAACAACATTTGCTTACATTGAAAGCCCGCATTTGGAATGAAAGTTTCAAGACATTTCGAGTCACATAGTGGAGATTTTTGTTCCTTTAAGTGGTGACCAACAGTTCACAAAGGCTTGAAGATTCGGTAGCCGAATCAGTATGATTTAAAAACCAAATAAACTTTCTGCGTGCAGTTAACTATAAAATATTCGGCTCAAACACCCAAGTCGTTGAGATCACTTTGGATTTTCTAATTTAACCTAATACTGGTGTACTGGAAATGTCTTCTAGCTAAATATTCGGATTTTGATTTTGCAGGGATTTGAAAAGATTTCTGCATGAATGAATATCACTCGGATTATTGACAGCCACTAAGTACTGAGCGGATATCCATTCTAGTTTGGGAATCCTCATATATGTATCTACTTCATATGAGTTTAAATGATTCTCTAACTACTATTGGTTTATGATAATACCTGAAGGTTTCCTCAGCTTATCTTTAATCCATTGCTATTTCCTTCTGCATATCTATTGGTTAATATTTTGTTGGCTAGTTCGATTCCTGCCAGAACTCCTTGTTAACTGCTGTTTCCAGCTGTCTATCTGATCTTCAGTATCACTGAACAAAGCCAGCTGCTGATGAAAGTATGTTACCTTTTGGAGGTGCTCTTTGTGACATGCAAGCCGAGGCTCTGTTTCATACAGAAGCACTGACATGACATTACCGTTGAGAGTTATTTTATTTCTTTCGCTTAGTCCCGTGGATCTCAACATCGATTTCAGAGCAGCAACCATCTTTCTTGCGTTACAGATTCATTGTTTTTGGGTGGTTGGAGGCATCTGGCAGGAAGCCGTGAATCTTGATTTCCTGCTTATTGGCACTTATATGCAAGACGTATCTGTGACTGTGAAAAAAACATATGTCCGCCTAGAAATTCGAAACCACGTCACCTAGTGTCGCAGTCAAAGACTTTACACGTCAGCTATTCGAGTTCACAACTGACCTCTCGTAGGACTGTATTCGACACATTGGTTAACCACAAGGAAGTATGTTATCGGTGTCGCATACCTAGATTCAAGATCCTCTGACGATTACTTACAACCATCTAAGAACAGTTCGTGGTGCACCACGAGCTGCCTGGTTTGATGACTACATTTCAAAACATCGGGAAGCGGTTAGAACCAAATAAAACAGTCTAGACTGATTTAAATCACTTCGGTCAAATGGTAATTGTCTGGCTGAGGCAGAATATTTATTCTAATGCAATCAGACAACCCTGAAGCCTGACTTTATGCCATAAATATAGTTGGTTATTTGTTGGTTTAACTTTCCTAGATGAGCAGCAATTATAAATGATACATTTTTACTTAATAAAATTGAATTGTTCTCCCTGGTACAAAGCAATGTGTTTTATGCTTTATTTTCATCGGCTGTAAAGGTCAGAAGTAATCACTGATCAGTATTAGAATCGAACCCACAAATTAGGAGGATAATTATTACTGTATCATTATTTTATCATCACTGATAATCATTACACTCATAAGATCACAAAAGTATCAAATTTTGTTAACATTTTTCAACAGTGGACTTACTTCATATCCCATATTCTGTCACCACGATGTAGAACATAGACATCTGAGCCAGATTCATCGGCTGCTTTAATCGATGATATTACTCCTAGTTTTGCGTTGACATCTTTAGACGGCCATTGTTGATCAAAGTCAACTAGAAAGCCTTGTGAATCGGGTAACTAAAGAAGAAACGCAGGGATAAAAGATAAAAGTTACTTTTTGAATGTTCTATCCAACATCTATGTACAAGTTGTTATGACCAGAAAGATGGAAGTAAGCCAGCCGTTGGCAAGAGAACTTTCACTTTCTTAAACAACAATCAAAACATTCGAGAGAGTTGTTGAAAGTACACCGCGTTTTAAATAATCCTGTTAAACACTAAATTCACTGATAGGTTCGAGAAAACTACCAATAAGATTCTGACCCTCATTAAAAGTAGGATATACAAAGAGTGCTTTCACTGCGTTATAACTGCAAAATATGGTTATTTCAGGGTTACAATCTTATTTCGGGCTAGAATTTGGATTATGTAACAAAATCGACAGATGGATAGCAACAGTAAATTAAAAACAGATGGACCTCATTAGCATCTGGAATTTCCACTCAAAGTTTCACAGTATTATATAACAAAAGCTTTTCCTGATAAGATGAATATCTCAGAATTATAGTTAGTGAGTGTATTCTTTTCGAATACAATTGCTGTGCGTTACTTCGGCAGTATACTTGAGTATATTCGTTTTTTAAGTTACTTTAAACTACTTGAACAGGGAACAACGACTATGACAATGAACCAACCAAAAAACCTTATTATCTCGAAAAAGTGTGCAGAAGAAAATTAGGCGGGACTGGGCACACACTGCGAAGACTGTTGAGTGATATAATGAGCCAGCTGAGAGCTCGAATGGATCCCGAATGGGAAACCTCAGCTTTGGCCTTCGAAGATGAAACGGAAGCAATCTTGTGAGGATAGGGAAATGGAAGCTTAAGGGCAGTCATGGAATCAGCTCAAAAAGTAATAGAGAACTGAGTAAAACGGCGATATAATCGAGAAGATTTGTAGTTCACATGGATGATTTTGAATAATTTCTGTTCTCTCAGCTGGTTGATTTAGTTCCGAAGCTTTTGTCGTCCCACATCTAGAGAACATCTTCAACGCATTTTTTAGTGTGAAATGAACGTATTTAAATTCCCCATGAATGATTTTATTGTATCTCCTGGAAACCACTGTCGTGACTACTTGTTAATTTATGTCTCTATTGATCGTTTTGATTGACTTGGAATTCGAATTTTCTTGTCACATGTGATTTACTTTTTATTAGATGGTAAATTTGGTCTATAGTAATGTGCTTGTTAATCTCTGGCTGATTCACTTGAGTATCAGGCTTCTAGAAATACCCTGACTACATTTCTGGTATTTCCTCTATTTAAAATGTCTCGATCATCCTGATCTAATTGGTGTGCATAATTATCCACACGCATTGATATGAAAGAATATATCATTTCCTTTCATAGCCGATTTGTGTTCTTCGATGCCCAATTCAAACAACTTATTTTGTAAATAGTATTAATTTTATCTTCTTTTTCTTTTAGAGTTTTCGGTTTACACAATGTCAATGAAGGGATTGTGCTGGCTGGACTGTGTGCTGTATCTACCTATTTCAAATAGTTTTAATATTATAGCTATTATTTCAAAGACATTTTTATGCATGGTGGCAGGATGAATTTTTTTGTGGTCATTGATGATGGTTCCGTATTGGTGTTATGACACTTTGATGAAATTATGAGGAGATCCATTCTTTTTATAGACGCTTGGTAGGTATTTTTCCTCCACTCTCTTCAACACCGGAGTGCTACAATGTGTTGGGACTCTTTTAAACAATGTCTGCACACAATTTCTTTTGTGGATATGCTGCTGAAGCCTTATATTTCACTAAGGACCTAAGGGAATATTTAATAAAAATAACTGAAGGACTTACATATAGTGTTACCGCAACACAATATTTTGTTATTGCTTAAGTTTCTCTGTCAGTGGTTCAGTAGCTGTATCCGCCTATGTACAATTTAAGGTAACATAAGCAGACAAGATATCTAGAAAGTGTGATTTCTTAGACATAAATGATCAGCTTAACAGTGGGATACGTTGTTTATCAGGTTCTTTCCAAGCTTCTAAACTGACCACAGTTTTATTTCAAACGTGATCTATCCGTAGCTCTGTCTTAGCACACCTTGTAGATATTGAAAATAAATTTGTCATTAGTAAATGCATTTAAAATTATCTTACCCATTCTAACTAATACTGATTTTGCTTTATGAATTCGTTTTGTACATGTGTGGTCAGTGGAATCCACTTGAAGAAGCCAGATATGTATTTTCAGAAGAAATTCATACAACCACCATCTTCACCTTGGACATTAATGCAAAATCTGACAAATCCACCTTCCCCTTAAGGCATTTACAAGTTTTCAATGTCCTAATTATTTTATTATTCTGACTACTTCATCTCTAATTACTTGTTGCATAATCATTTTGGACACTGAATTATTTCTAACCTACTCCTATGATTATGAACAATAAATTTTGTTCGAAACTGTGTCATTCTGTAAGTAATACTGTTTCACTGTGTCATACATCTAATAAACAAACTAATATGGGACTACTCTTCCTATTTTTCAAAAATAATGCATTACATAATCCAATGCAAATATTTCTACTCTTTAACTGTTTCACTAACTTTGCTTGATTAATTATTACCCCATTGATATGTTAGTACTGGTTATGCCACAGACCAATACCAGTTATAGAGGACCACTGAATACCAAAAGGGTGTACTGTGCGTCAGTAGAACAGTGATTAGGACTCTCTCCGACCATGCACATGGTCCGGGGTTCGAGCCCACGCCGACGCACACCTGATATTTATGGTCGGCCTGCGGAATTTGGGCTACCGATATCCATGCTGAAAATTCCATACTTGTACCAAAAATACGGTGTGGAATCAAGCTGTAATCAAAAATAAAAAAAATTTCAATAAATACCTGTTTTGTCCTTTGTAAGTGAATTTTAAGCAGGAAGCCCGCATCATCCTACCAGGGATAGGACCTGGAACATTCAGGTTGTTGACCATTTAGCCGCCTGGATTTATAACGATTGGCGAAAAGTCACACTTCTGGCAACCAAAGTAACTGGCGAGCATTTGTCCACACACTAAATTGATGTACCCCACTGGTCATAACTTCCCCCTAGAACTTCAGTCAACTGCATTTTTCGTTCGCTAACTGATGTGAAATATACCTAGAATGTATGGGCCCATGAGACCATTATTAGACATTAGACTCACTATATCATGAAATAGCAAGATGGCTGGGAGACATACTTAAACCACTGCAGTTAAAAGTGACTAAGTATAGTTTGTAGGACACTTTTGAATTTATAGAGGAAGTAATAGATAAAAAGATCAATGATGAAACAGTGATCTCTGTAGATTCACCTTGCTGTTCACTAACGTCCCTTTATTAGGGACCATCGACTTCATCTGTGAATCTCTTACAGAAAATGATACAGATGTAGGTATGTCACCTCAAACACTACTCTATTATAAGATGAATGTGCAGTTTCAGTTTAGCAATGAATTTTACTGCCAAGTGAAGAGAGTAGCAATGGGCTCACCTCTAGGTCCTTTCTTAGCCCATAAGTTTATGGCAAAATTAGAGGATCGTCAACTCAAAAACGTAATCAATGAACTCTCATTCTACTGCATAATGATAAATTCAATGCTGAGGTCCTTCTACAAGCGTTCACTATGGCTCACCAACAAATTAAGATCAAATGTGAAAAGGGGAAAGACAGCACCTTATCATTTCTCTGTGTCCTGCTAACAAAAAGACAAGACGGCAGGCAGTATTAAGGGGGATATTTTCCAGGAGAAGTCATGGGTCGGCCCATTTTAAATCGTTTGCTCCGCTTTCATACAAACGAAATCTTATCACTACTCTCATATATCGTTCTAGAAAGATCTGTACAGCGGATAGTCCGAACGATTAAGTAAGAAAAATAGACAACTAATTCTACGAGATCAGATATCCCGAAAAAAATTCGTTAAAGTCTCGATGAGGAAACAGATAGAAAGAAATGCCTGCAGGCGGTGTATAAGATATATATATATATATATATATATATATATATATATATATATATATATATATATAATATAGCATAAAAATTTGTCTCTGTTATCGGAGTTAACTCCGACTTTTATGACTATCTCATTGTGTGGGGATATTTCTAAGTGATCAGTCGGTTATACTTTTGTGACTGTAGACGCATTCTATTTAGGTCAGACAACCACAAATCAGTGACATTCCGCTATAACGGCTGCAATAAGTACAGTTCCTTTCTGTATTTTAATTATTGTTTGGAATAAACTGATTATTATTATTATTCTGAATTAAATGTCTGTCTGAACGAAAAATATTCTTTTCATTAAATTCTCTTCAGATCCTTACAATTATAAAATATATATTTATCGTTACAAAAGTAGCCAGTTATGCGGCGGATACAGTTTTACGTAGATTAACAGATAGGTTTGCGCCGGTGGTACAGCAGTAGAATGCTTGCCAGCCACACATGTGGTCCAGGGCCACTGATGCACTCCTTTACCTCACTAAGCTAGTAATAAGACTAGTGAAGAGGGAAGGCTGGGCATGGGGCTAGCAACTCCATTACGTAAAAATAAACACCACTGCCGCCAAAACTTCAAGCCCCCTACTGGAAGCCCTTTGTTTCACTAGGAACGTGAAGGAATGAAAAACAGATAGATTGATGGATACATTGCACCATATTGATACATTCTGAAGTCATTATCACGCACAATTCGCTTACATCTTGGACATGTAGCTGATGGTGTTGTAATACGATCGACTAAACCGGAACTTCGCATTCAAATGGAACACGTTTGGGCACCGTACCTACAGAGGCCGTATGTGGATTAAAATTTCTCCTCCAATCTAAAATTGCTTCTTCCTCTTACCTCTTTTTCTTTGTTTATTATTTTTGGTTTTTATTTTATCTTCGCTCTAACAGTTTTAGCCGCAATTTTTTATAATTTATACCCTTCATCGTAGCATTCTTTCAATACTAAAGAAGTTTCCATTTATACTATTGTGAATTAACAATAGTGATATTACCTCTTTTCTCACTTACATGTCTTCACTTGTTTCATTTAACATACTATTTATTCCATGATGAATTATTCACTGCAGCCTTACTATTTCCCACTTAATGCACATGCTATTCCATACATACTAGCCACTCACTTGACATCTTTTACTAACTTGTTAGTTTTCCTTCCACACACACGCTGTATGAATATATTACAGCTGATTAATGACCATCATTGTATTGCATTTCACAATATTCTGCAGCTACATTCAGTTCAGCATGTTTGTAGCACACATTCACACACATACACAAATACCATTTGTCTTGTAAAGAGTTGATTTGTATGGATTATATTTGTTTTTACGAGTTTGACCACGGACTGATATCAGTTAAAGAACCATTGAAAGTCATGATCCGTGAGGTTCATCCAGTCAAGTGTGAGGTTGGATGTCCCACTGATGAAATTGGTTGATGCTTGTGCTAAATTAGGAATTGAGAGAAGTCCGAATTCATAGGCTGGCCATTGAGGAGTCGGGTCCCAGTGACTGACTGGTACACGAGTTTGCCTTGTAACCGGAAGGTCCTGAATTCAAAACTCGTTGGATGGGTGGGTGCGTACTGTCGATGATTCCCAAACTAGGATGAAACGGATGTCCGGTATTCTCTGCTAGTTTTCAATGGTTCTGTAACTAATATCAGTCCATGGTCAAACTCGTAAAAACAAATCTGATCCTTACAAACCGACTCTTGAAAACTGATCTAATGCTCGCTAGTGACTTGTTACAGGATGAAATTTCCTGGAGTCCTAGTAAGAAGTTGTGATCAGTGGGGTCCATGCAGTAGGGAGTGAGGATGGAGTTCCCACCCAATAACTTATAACTGGCTACTAATGTAATGATAATAATTATTTTATTTCATAACTGTATGAAGCTGAAGAAAATTTATTCAGAAGTATATTCTTCATTCGGATTGATCTTTAATTCATGATGTGACAATATTTCACACTCTTATTATTATTATTATTACTATTATTATTATTATTATTATTATTAAGTGAAATCACTTTGATCAGGTCTCAAAATAATAATTAACTTCCATGCATATAAAAAATTGAAACAAGGCTCACTTCATTTTGAAGTCAGTCATGATTACATTTTTCCCAGAATGACAATAAAAATTTAACCGATCATTCTCATCGAACTCAGAGGAATCCAATGCATCAATCTTTGAGAATAGCTGTTATTACTCACCTCATAGGTGTAGTCTGAGTTTGTTTGAAATTGATAACTTTGATCACCATAATCTGCGCATGTAGTATACTTCCATGTAATAATAATATTTAAACTGACTATGAGGATAGTGTGAAATAAAAACCACTGTCTAACAGCAAATGTCATTATATTGCTGATAAGGAGGTGTGTATTCCGGCTACAGATCACTTGACTTTATCTATTACATATATATATATATATATATATATATATGTTACTCAATGACAGCGTAAATTCCTTTTATTATTTTTTTTAATGAGCAACTGATGTTATGCAATGCTTTTCATGTCCTTATATATATATATATATATATATATATATATATATATATATATATATATATATATATATGCAGATGAGAAAAGTAGTATGAACTCTGTCTGTGATTGGTTGATCGAGATTATACACACTTAAGAGATGGAGGAAATCAATTTATATACTTCACAAATTGACCAATCAGATTTGTCCTAGCATGTTTAGTATGTGATCTGTTAGAGTGGATTTATGCTCGCTTATTGTTTGTAGTTTATAGTGAATAGTATGTCCTGTTTGTTTTACTTTTTTTTCTTAATCTTTTTAATTTTGCTTCCATTTTAGTCTTTCTCGATGTACAGAAATATTGATTGGTTTAGTTTCTATGCTTACTCTCGTGCAACAATCTAGAGTTTTATAGCGTCTATGTGTGTGTGACCTTATGCGAAGATGATTCTGCATAGAATACCTTAAAAAGTGCAATTAGTGTGATACTTGTTATCAATTATGAACGGTATAAACTAGTGTAAATTTGGTCAATATGTTGAATATAAAGACAATGGTTACGTTGGAATTCCACATCAGACAAGTTTATTTTAAATATCATACAGTGATTCAGTATCGACAGTTTCATAATTTGCCTTATAGATATTTCTCTGTCTTTCATTGCTGATTGAAACTGTCTGCATTTGTGGTAAATACGTAGCGTGTTTGGTGTTGATTCGATGAACGAAGATTCGGTGATTAACCTCTCTCAGTCTCTCTACTTACCAAACTATATTACTTTTTAATACTCTAACCCTGTCCCCCCTTTTTTGTAATTACATCCAAATCAATGTATTGCACTAGCTAAGCTTTTTCCATGTTGTTTCACTTGGCAGAGTCAATTATTCTAGGTCTAGCTAAATTTTCATGTTCCAATAATCTAATTGACCCCGATTTACTAATCTGACCTACGTAATTGACCTCACAGTCGTTACATAGTATCCGGTAAATTGTACTGCTTTCCCTAATTGGATATATCGTGTCCTTTAGTTTGTCTCTAAATGTGTTGGTTTAAATGCCACCTTTATTCTAGCCTCATTTAGAATCCTACGTAAGGCATCTGATGTTCTTTCTCTATACGGCAGCATTACAAAGGCTTTGAATTCTATATTATTTTTGTCATTTTCATCGCTAATCTTATTTTTCTATGGTTTTTCATACATTTCTGAATAAATTCTGGTTGGTAGCTGTTTATTGTTAACATTTTCATTATTTATATCTTCTGATTCACTAGTAAGGCTTCTGGCCCGACAGTGGGTTCTGAATTCAAACCTCTGACATGATTGATTTCTAGTGCCGGTAATGATTTGATACCACTAGCCGTGATTTATTTTATTCAAACTTTAGGAAGACCATTTTGAAGATAATGACAGTGAATTGGTATTCAACTGGAAAGTTTGATTTCGAATTCACTGTCTCAGTTTTGATTATTCATTGATATTACCTTCGGAGTCATTGAAGACTAAGGAGTACTAGACAGTGCTGTTTATTCATAGTTTGGAACTGTGCAGCAATAAGTGTTGAATTACCCCGTCCACAGGTAATTGAAGCAAAGACCTTTAAGGCACAACGGGAGCATCTATGCCATACAGCCAACTGAATGGAATCCAGTTCTTAGTGATTTCAAACTTGCGTCAACTCGCGTTGCCTATTGCGATCACCAGGGAATCTCACTGGTGAGCATTCATCTTCACACCCAAACTGGTGCACCTCACTGGTTACAACTTCTACTCAGAATCCCAGCAAACGTCGTCCTGTAATCAATTAATTAAATTCAGGAATTCATCATGAGCTGACATTAGTTAGAGAACCATTGGAAAACCTGGGAGTACTGGACAGTTGTTTCGTCCTAGTTTGGGACTCTTCAGCAATATGCACCCACCGGGATTCGAACCCGGTTCTCTAACTAATGTCAGCTCATGATGAAATCCTGAAACCAATCGAATCCCTACAAACTAACACTTGAATACCAATGAGATGGTCACTGGCGACTGGCCCTATTCAGGTAGGTAGTTACCTGGGATCCAGTGGGAAGTCGTGAGGAGTAGGGTGCAGCGGGTCGGGTGTGAGGACAAATACTCGCCGAAGACATTGGCTAGCGGTCGCGATATGTCGTGAATCGGCAGAAGTTAGAATTCATGGACTGGCCATTGGATCGGGTCCCAGTGGCTTAATGTTATACGAGCTCGCCTTGTAACCGGAAGGTCCTGGGTTGGAATCCCGGTGGGTGCGTACTGGTGAAGAGTCCCAAACTAGGACGAAACAGCTGTCCAATACTCCCAGGTTTTCCAATGGTTCTCTAACTAATATCAGCTCATGATGAAATCCTGAAACCAATCAAATCCCTATAAACCAACACTTGGATTAATTAATTAATCGCTCACCGAATCGACTTAATGCAGTTTTCTTAATATTACAAACAATTACCAAAGACGACCTCATTAAGGTGTATCTATAAATTCAAATGCCTATATGGACCTATTAACATCTACTATGCTCGGAGGGCTTTATCAATTCACGCACGTGAACATGTAGTTGTATGGTTGGTTGGGTAGATAGGTAACCTAATGCGGAAATATTACAGTCTTACCCCACTTCACAGATACTGGAAACCCAGTAAAGCCAGAAAAGGCGCTGTCTGTTATCTACTCTACCGTGTCCCTGGTAATCAGTGTAGAGGAGCTTCACTGCATATTCCATGAGTAGCTGAAGCGGCAACATTCATCACCAGAAGACGTGGTCTTTCTTTATGGAAAAAGAAGCTTGAACCTCTGTCTTCATCTTGGACTACTGTAAGATCAACAAATACTCTATGAACACTGGCACTTCAAATTCTTATTTTATTCCCTTCTCCTTCTGATCACTGACAAACGCTCATTTAAAAGCTTCTTCGACTTCATCAGTTTTCCTATCATTGTTATTACCATGGGTCTGCGAATATATATATATATATATAATAAAACGTTTCCTTTTCGACAGTTAGAAAACTGTCATATTACAAACAGAAAATCAGTTTTTTTTTCGTTTTCCTCCACGTTCCCAGTGGAACATACGGCTTCAAGATAGTGGCTTGAAGTTTCTGTAGCAGGGTTTATTTTCACAGGATGGGGTTGCTAGCCTTATGCTCAACCTTTCCTCTTTACCAGCATTATTTCTGGCTTAGCGAGGTAAAGGAGTGCGTCGGCCGGGGATCGAACCCCGGACCGTATGCATGGCCGGCGAGCGTCCTAACCGCTGTGCCACCGACAATTTCAGACACTGAGTAAGAAAAATTAAATCACATGGTATTTAAGGGACACGATGTTAACGAATGGTCATCGCGCAGACAATGAATACTTGAGAATATGTGTGAGGATCCATTTATCTTCCTTACAACACCTGATCCAACATCATCCTTTAGTCTTTTCATTGATGCACTCGGATCATATTGAAACGTTTATATGACAACAAACACACTAAATCTGAATCCGTGTTCACCCAGACCGTGAGCAAATTTGTATACATCACATGATAAAAAACATTGTTCTGGAGATTCGAAACTCCAACCACTCTCAAAAGGCTACGTTAACTCTAAGAGAGCGACGGGGAAGTAAAAAGTATTTAGAGGCTCGAAAAACTCAAAAAGCGAATGAAATCACACCTGATCATAATACCATCTGATAAATTTACACTCTGAATGATTATCATTACATCATGTTGTCTAGAATGATAAACAAACGTCAGGAAGAGAATATCATCTACGCAATAATAAATACCTTTATAGAATCCACTTAAAATATTATCCCAACTCCGTCACCTGATGCATTATCGTGATAATGACAGATTTCTCAAGGATAGCGTTGGATCACACAAGTGGAATACAAAGACATGAGAAGTATAATCATGTGAACAAGTTTAAGTAGCATAATGGTAGGTAGCTTCTCCAAGTATGTGAAAATTACACACTCTAGTACAGTTTATACATACATAGTAACACTTACTTACACAATTATTAGAGTAATGTTAAGTGTTAGGTCGATTCGTGTACAAACTTCGCTTCGTGAGACTAGGCAGTGAACACACATCCTATCCAGTATCCGAATTTATATAATTCAGTGTTTGAGACACTCGTAAGTCTAGTCGCATATTTGTAAGTTGTATCACTGTAATACTGAGTGACACGGCTTCAAATCCTAGAGCGAACGAAATATAAGTATCCTATTTACAAATAACTAAATCATCTTATCCTTACTGCTCACAAGGTTCTTGCTACTGATAAGTGTCTCAAGTTAGTCAGAAGATAGCCCCACTTCATTGGAATCTACCATGTTTCAGCATCTCATTATGCATCTCATCCAACAGTTATACGACAATGCTGCATGCCAAGTAATCCACAACGGGAAACTCACGGAAGCCTTCGAAGTGAGGACGAGAGTGCGACAAGGCTGTCTACTATCACCAATGATCTTCCTGATTGCAATCGATTGGATAATGCGACAGACAACGGCAACCAACGAGAGAACAGGCATAAAATGCACTGACACAAAAGACTTGGAGGATCTGGATTTCGCCGATGATATATGTCTGATTTCCCACAAACTGGAAGATATGCAAGTGAAAAGCAACAAGTTGGCAGAAGAAGCATCAAAGATGGGACTTCAAGTGAACATAGATAAAACAGAGGTGATGAAGATTCCTAGCCAACATCAACAACAACAACAACAGACAACAATCAGCATAAATGGGAGGAACCTGAAAGAAACAGCCTGCTTCACCTACCTGGGAAGCACCGTCTCAACTACAGGCTGAACTGACGAGGATATCAAGGCCAGAATCGGAAAAGCAAGACA